CCGCGCTCAGATGTACCGTTTCATTTCGATTCGACTAAGAACTTACCGGAACTATTTTTCATTTACTGTCTGGTTATTGCGGTGGTTGAATGCATCAGAAATTGGATTTGTCCATGCCGAGCTAGATGGGCTGCACTGAGGCCAAGGTTCAGCAGTGGGAACATCGGCGCACCCTTCTGCACAGAGCCGGGCGGGGCGGACCACCGCAGTCCTGTGATTGCACGCGTGTACCCCGCAAGACAATGGGCCGAAATTGGGTTTGACGGCGGCGTAGGATGTAAATTGACGGCATTCAGGCACCACTGTTCAGTAATTAATCTTAGTTAGGCGTTCGTTAGCGCTTGTACTGCAGTATGTCAAAGGCGGAACAGCCGACCCTAAAGAAATGCATTCGATTCCGTTCAAACTTTCTTCCGCCATTTTTATTTTGATCGGGAATTGGTTAAACAACACCGAAATCACGAAAGTATATGACATCAGTCGTGACTACTCGTATAGCCTCACTCACTTTATAGAAGCCGTTTTCAAGACGGCCATCTGGTACACATTTGGTGCACATCTGGTACAGATTAGGTGTAGATCTGGTCAAATCAGGTTCAGTGTGTCTCTTAGCAGCTTATATCAGCTAGGGTTGCACTAATTGCTTATATGCCTGCTTTGTCATATAATCAGAGAGCATCAACGATTAAAACATTGAAATAAATTCATAAAATAAAGATATTTGCTGTAAAAGAAATTGGGTGCAAATTAGGTCGAATCAGGTGCATTCGCCGGATAGCCCGTCGTGAAAACGGCTAGTCTCACCCTCAAAGCTTGTAAGTATACGGACAGTGTCGTCACTGACTATTTAACTTATGTCGCATATTTGTGTGGTAGCAGCTTGATCAAACATTTATAATTGCAGTCAGTTCGCTTTTGCATAAGTGTTTTGTTGTCTTTTTATGCCAACGCTGACGGCTTGATTAAAAAAGAACATCTCTAGTTATATATGGAAACTAGCCTCAGTAAGCATTTTCACCTTCCACTGGGTTGCGTTTTTGGGTCGATATTTGATGAATGGAGTGTAGCTGACGGCTGCACTGCCAAAACCACCAGTTGTGAGTTGTGGCAGCAACATCCCGCCTCCATATTTGGTCCGACTAAGCGCCACCTGCGTTGCACGATCACACCCAGCCATCCATCATGTCTCTCTGTTCCCTTCGACTCGGGCGCCGCGGCCGATCCGTCAATGGCGCCGTTTTTGTCGCTCAAAAAGTGTGATTTTGTTATCGCGGCGCCCGATCGCTCAGTGGCTGTCGCGCACGGGCGCAGTGTCAGCGGTATACCGGCCCTGTCGACAGTCGCCGCATGTCAAACCAACAGCCTGCTGCCGAACTCGGTCAGAATCGACCACCTTCGATCCCATATCAATGCTCAACGAATTATTTCACACTCCTGTACCAAATCGCTGTTATTATATTCACACACCTAATATTATGCTCCCAGATCATTTTAACTGTGAGGCTATCTGTAAGTCAAACAAAACTGTTATTCCACTTATTTCCATATTTCTCAGAGCAAAATCATTTCTGCTAGGCTGTTAAAATTTCAGGAAATCCGTTTCATCCGCTCTCTTTGTCTCGCATGTTTGCTGTTTTGTCGAAGCTAACGACCTCACTTGCCGTTGTCGTTGGGTTGAGGCTGCTTAAAACAGCAAACGTCTCTCAGCTCGTGAAACCTCTCACTCCATTCCCGTCTCGACAGCCGGCAAATGGGCCAAGGTGTCACCTTTGTCACCCCCCCCCCCTCTGCACTGTGACCCCCCCCCCCCCCAGAGATGGATGGTGGCACGTGCAGCAGGACAAACACTGACCCCTCCCCCTTCCCCCGACGGCGGTCTCCCCCAGCATACGCGAGACGCCCGAGACTGCCCTCGTGGCGCGCGTGCAATATCGCAGTGTATCATTCAACGGATACTGCAAATGGTGGATACCTCCAATGACTCATTGGCTGATAAATAAATGGGTTCGTAGAACTGAGTGATTGCATACCGCTCAGCAGCTTCTAAGAAAATGTACGAAATGTGATACTGTAGTTGCACATAACATGTGACTGATACGGAGATTCGACTGCAACGCCCTCGCCGGCCGAGGGGGGGGGGGCGGGTGCCGCCCCCCCCCATAGGGTTTTTTTCGCGATACCTCCGAACACGCTGGCGATAGAGAGCTGAAACTTGGCATACCTGACCTTTGATCCAAGCCGGATCTTTTGACACCAACCGCATTTTTGGGTCAGGTCAGGTCACTGACCTATGACGTCATAAGTGAACCTCTGCACGGTCTTCAGATGTCGCAACTTCGCAACGCCCTCACTGCCAGAGGAGATGTCACAGGGAAATGAAACTTGCAGGATCTAGTATCCATTATGAGTCCCACAACTTGTATGTCTCGGATTTTTCCTAAAGGTCATATGAGGTCAGGTCATTTTTGTGACCTCACCATTATAAGTCAATGGGGAAAAATGAAAACTGCTATTCTGGCGCCGGGAACGATCTCCAACTATCTCAAGCACACAGAATCGTGATTTGATGCACTCCTTGCAAGGTTAGATGCGTCACTTTTGCAATGTTGACCTTGCGTGATGTCATTTATGACGTCATCAAGGTCATATTAGTTTTTCGTCAATAACTCTTGATCAAATTGAGCTAGCGAGTCGGGAAAGCCACCAATGGACTCAGGAAGGCCTGCCGAATCGAATGATATGTGACATGACCTCTTTCGACCAACTTCGTGACCTGGGGGTGCTGACCTGACCTTGACCTGAGGTCGACACCACAAGTTGACCTGACCCGGACAAAAAGTATATCATTCGACGCGCCTGAGCGAGGCGAACACGATGCTGCCAAAATCGGCGCTCTGCGGCCGTTTTTGCGAAGTTATTCACCAAAAACTGAACTGTACCTTGGGGCACTTGACCTGACCTCAGAGGTCACCGGTTGACCTAGGACCTTAAAATCGGGTACCAATCTCTGCGTCTCGTAACGGCGCACACGCTCGTTTTTTCCGCGACGCGCTAGCTCCACCAGGGGCGAAACGGCGAGGGGGGGTCGTACCCCCCCCCCTCGGCCGGCGCGTATGTAGAAAACCAATAGGTCCGGCGAGGGTTAAAGTGCTAGCTGCTGATGAATGCTGTTTATTTTCATGGACGATCAAAGTGCATTCTTATCTTCCGACCATAACTCAGAACACTTATTTTCTGTGAATCGGCTATATTATATTTTCTATATTAGATTGGCTTTATTAGATTGGCTGCATTAGATTGATAATAATTTCTATATTAAATTGGCTATACAGCTATATTAGATTGAGCGTCACAATAGCCGTCTTCACGACGGGCTATCCGGCGAATTCACCTAATTTGACCAAATCTGCACCTAATCTCTTTTACAGCAAATATCTTCATTTTATGAACTTATTTCAGTGTTTTAATCGATGATGCTCTCTGATAATATGACAAAGCAGGCATATAAGCAATTAGTGCAACCCTAGCTGATAGCTACTAAGAGACACACTGAACTTCATTTGACCAAATCTGCACCTAATCTGCACCAGATGAGCACCAAATGTGTACCAGATGGCCGTCGTGAAAACTTCTTATATCTTTCATTCCGCAGTTTATGCAGCAATAAGTCAAGTGCAAAACCGATACCCATTAACCAAAACAAAACAATTAAATGTTGCCTAAATCAATGAATAAACCGGCATTGCATATATCTAAGTGCATTTCTAAGCATACCTCACATTTAGTTTTCCTCAGCGAAGCCCGTTTTGAAAACAATTAACTTTTTATAAATCAAATATATTTCACTTTCCTCAACGAAAGCATTAGTATTTAGTGGCACCAAAAGCACCATCTAAGTACCGAGTTCAACATCACCCCCACATCAGGCGTCATCCATTAGTCTCCAACATCACTCCAACATCAGTCCGACGTGCTCCAGCGCCGCTAATTGCTCAGAATCACGCAGCAGCTCCGATCTCACGGGATTCGTTTGAAATTCGTCCGAGCGCTGCGTGCTTTCATGTGTGCCGACTGCCGATCCGCCGACTTTCCACGCCGTCCTGCCATCTGTCAGGATCAAGCTGGAAATCCTCGTTACCGCCGGCTTAGCGCGCCTAGGCGGGCCGTATAAGTGAAATTCATCAAAACGCGGCCACTGCTGGTGAGGCATTAGCGAGTGGAAGCGTGAGTGGTGCGCGCTCCGGCGGCTCAGCGGCCGTGGCTACCTTTCTGTGATCACGGCTCGGCATTGAAGTCTCCGCGGTCAATGCGTGAGGGGAGCGGGGGAAGAGGAGAATGAGGAAGAGAGGAGAGAGAGAGAGGGAGAGAGAGGAGAGAGAGAGAGAGAGAGAGAGAGAGAGAGAGAGAGAGAGAGAGAGAGAGAGAGAGAGAACGGTAGTCAGAACGATGACAGAGAAGGGAGCGGTGGGTAGTAAGGATGGATAGGGTGAAAGTAAGATATGTCCCTTCGCCTCCCCTACCCCGTCAAAGTCGTCTAGGCAATTATGAGCCAAACATAGCAAATACTGTGGAGCTACACAGATGTTAAATATCTTGCGAAAATATGATATCAAGCAAAAAAAAAACGAATCAATTTTTTTTAAGATGCAGTCTTCAAAATTCATCGGTCTCGTCGCCTCATGCTGCTGTAGGTCACTATTAAGGATTTTAGTAGAATCATCAACAAACTGAAACAGGATACTAACCGGTTAGTGTATTGTGAGTCACCAAGTGTTCCTAAATTCAGAATTGCCAACAGATAATCGCGACAATCCAAGAATTCGCGTTCCAACTATTTTCTGACACTATCTGTCGCATCGGGCATACATACAAGACAGTGAACAGCTTCATTCTCCAGCAAATCGGCCCGATCGCCTGTCGATAAAAATCCTCCAGGTGTGGACAGGACTCGGGCTGGTTGGACGCTTATCCTGCGATCAATCGTCCCACAAAGCGGTCTGTCATACAGAAACGAACGTTTATTGGCGACGCACCAGTGTCTGTCCATTCGACCGACAGACAGATAGACTGCGGGGCTCCCTCGTTGGCGATTAAAGTGGCCACACACGAACTTGTCAAATCATTACGGCTTAACAATATTAACGAAGAGCACTGTTATTGACACGACCATCTATCGGTAACACTTAATCATCTAAGTGTCAGGTGTCCTGCTAGGGTCAACGTCCACTCAAGACGCCACTTAACAGCAGCGCAGGCAGCTGACATGTATCGAAAACGTGAGATGCAGACAGTGCATGCACCGCACAGTGCACAGGTTTGCACGGTAATGTTTGCCGTTCGTATCGTGAAATCTTGCAATTGAATGCACGCCACTCGATGGTCAATTATTGACATGGATAGCCAATAGCCAAGCACGCTTTGAGATGCACAGTAATGATTTGCTCATCAATTTAAGGCTAATGTGTATTTATGTGTAGTTTTCGCACGAACTAAGTGCCACATCATCTCTCCAATGACCAATGAATGTTGTGACCCTAATAGTCGCATGATGGGTACAGATCTTCGAAGAACTAAGGCCATAGATGTTTCGTGGAACTTCTTAATGAAACTGGGTTCCTTGAGGCGTTAGATGGGAGTTAACCCACGACTGTGACTCAGTGATGTCTCATACGAACTCAAATAAAGACCGAAGTGCAGTTGAATGCATAACTTTATAAATATTTAGGTGGTGTTGGTAAATAGTTAGTCGGTCGGGGCTTTAGTTAAGATAGTGTTGATTTGGGATTAGTGACATGAATCAGTTAAGACATCAGTCAACTATAAATTCATCGGCTTTAAGCTCGCTTAAGCACAAGAACGGATATATCTATGCACGAGTTCATAAGCGTAACACGTAAGCTCATTTTTACATGTCCGTCCATTGCGTTAGCAAATATGCCGCAAGTGTATCCCCAAAACAGATAACTCCGGCTATCATAATATAACAATATCAGCATCGTACCAACTTTCTGCTAGAGCACAATTGGTCACACTCGTCTGTGAGAACTGTCTTCCGACGGTGCAACAGTTTATCAAAACAAACTTCCGTCGCACTCTGTCAGCAAGCATTTATAAGGCCGTCGGTCATACTACTTTTTCTCATGACCCGTTTTTGCGCGGCTTGTCTAGGAGCGTGTACATTTCGTCATTGACGATGACGTGTGACGTGGCTCCCTTCTGTGATCCGGAGCCGATCTCTGATCCCGGAGAGGACCTTGGCCACGCTGGAGCTGGCACCACATTCGCATAGATGGGCGCATCATTCGATGTTGTCTTTTCGGAGGGAGGGGCAGCGGCTGCAGCAGCAGCGGCAGCCACCACGGCAGCCTCCTTGCGTAAGCTCTGCTCGGCCGCCCACGCCGCGGTCCGATTCTCGGCGCTCGACGCCTTGACCGACGCCCCGGGCCCCGGCGCCCCCAACGGCGCCCCGGTCGACGCCCCGAGCGGCTCCCCGAGGCGAGCGTACTGCGCCCCCGGCGCCTCGGTCGAGCACGGCATGTGCTGCAGACTGGCGTACGAAGCTGAGCTACGCTCCCCGGCCGTGACCGGTGTCGGTCGGAGCGGCTCGGCGAGTCCGTCGCCGTCGACAGCGACGTCCCACCGGTCCGCCGGCGCGCTGTGCTCGACGTGCTCGACGTCTCGGCCAAGCTCGCGCCACGCCGAGCGCCGCTCGCCCGGCTCGGAGTACATCTCCTCCTCTGGCTCGTTCATGAACGGAACTGACAGAGAGCCCAGCAGCAGCTCGTTGCTTTGCGCCGCTTCCTGCTCAGGTGACGTCATCTTCAGACTCTGTGTCAGCAGCCACTGCTTTTCGGCCAGCGGAACGACGTTGGGAAGCACGTCTTCTGCCGTCGCCGTCGCCTTGGTCTTCCGAGGTGGTTTAGCGATTGGGGTCTTTTTTCCCTTGCGGCCGGAGCTAAGTCGGTCCAGAGTGTGGGACTCGAACGGCGCGGCCGGCGGCGGCTGCGGCGGCGGAGGAGAGGTCGGCAGGTCGGGCGCCGCACTGTGCCTGTTGTGCTCATACTCAGCCATCACTCGCTGTAGCTCGTGCTGGAGCGCTCCAGCGGCGCGCGTGCGGAAGATGAACGACCCCGGCCCGGTCTCACTGCTGCGGCCCACCTCCATGACGAAGGAGTCGCGGGTCTGGCCGTACCGGCGGATGTGGCTGAAGAGCCAGGAGGCGCGCAGCTGCCCGCCCACTGTGCGCAGCTGGACAGAGGCGGCGGCCACCTGCACCACGTGAGGTCCCGACAGCCGCAGACGCAGCGTCATCTCGTTCTCCTCCACGGTCACCGGAAATGTCGAGCCTGCCGAGAAACCCACGTCAGGTCAGCATTGGTTTTAAACGGGTTTGATGAGCACAAAGTCCAACTGTGGTGGACGAATATTGCACTTTCATGTGACGTTCTGAAGTTAATGATCAATATTATATGTTCAGTGCCAGTGCTCAGTATCAGTTTTGATATGTATCGGTGGAAGGCTATCTTCAATGTATGCTAGCATTGAAAATCTATTTCAAAGCCCTGTGCTTATAGTGTACAGCGTAAATACGCTGATGGATGAAAAGCCACTTACGATTTTCCACGGAGCCATACAGGACGTTATCGTCACACTGTTCACCAGGGAGGCTTCTCGAAGCCGAGAGGAGTTTCGAGTTGGGACAGTCGCTCCCTGCCTTCCCGAAGGCTATCCTCTGCAGAGCATCCACCCAATCATGCAGCTCCTGTATACTTCCAGCGGAGAACGTGTGAGATCCCTCGCGAGTCACCACCTGGCGGCAAACATAATAACTACAGCTTCTGTACCACGCTACTCTGGTGTCGGTGAGCTGGGTTACGTTCTTGATAGGCTGTAACGGTTGTAAGTTGTATAATTTTTTCTAAAGTATGCTTGAGATTCTTCAAATGGGACTTAGCAGGCACGCATGCGTAGATGCAGGCTTATAGAGAAGTGAAAGAATATTTTCGCCCCACACATAAGTAGCTAGGTATCTATCTTACAGTTACATAGCAATCAGATATGTAGGTAAGCAATACCTGAACATAAGTTTGTATCTTTTCTGTTGCAATCTTCATTCGGTTTCGAAAACGTGCATCGCGTATCACAGGACACACATCAACCACTAGATATCTCTACCTTTGCATCCTCACAAGATCACTACCCTAGCGATTACGTGACAAAAGATCGTAAGACAAAAGATCGTATGGAAAAAGATCGTAGGAAAATGATCGTAAGATAAAGATCGTATGTTGTAAAATATCGTACGACAAAAGATCGTAAGCAAAAGATCGTAAAGCAATTGATCGTATGAAAAAGATCGTAGGAAAATGATCGTAAGATGAAGATCGTATGTAGCAAAAGATCGTACGACTTAAGATCGTAAGCAAAGGATCGTGAAGCACAGGATCGTATGAAAAAGATCATAGGAAAATGATCGTAAGATAAATATCGTATGTCGCAAAAGATCGTACGACCAAAGATCGTAAGCAAAAGATGGTAAAGCAATGGATCGTATGAAAAAGATCGTAGGAAAATGATCGTAAGATAAAGATCGTCTGTTGTAAAAGATTGTACGACAACAGATCGTAACGTTAAGTTCGTAAAGTAAATAATCGTATCGAATAATGTTGTAGGTAAATGATTGTAGCATAAAGTCCGTTGGTCACAAAATATTTTACGAAAAAACCGTCACGTGCGTGTGCTGCTGTGACCTGTGGGGTGCCCCTGTTGGGGTGCTCAAGTCTTATTGGAGGTGCTCTATCTAGCATTTGGGATGCTGAAGCACCCCCAATGATACCTATACAAATTCACCCATGCTTAGGTCACCTTATATAAAAAATCCGAGGTAGAAAAACTAGGGATATTTATAACGTCATGTTATCCACCAACTGCGAAAATTTGCATGCCCACAATTATATTAAGAAATTCACAATTATGAGTGTGACTACCATGGGCTTCGGTGCTAGAGCATGGATGTGGATTTTCACAAAAAAAGCATTGGGGCGTCACAGGCATATATGCCTGTGACGCCCCAATGCCTGTGACGCCCCAATGTTTTTTTTGTGCGCGCCTGGGCACACCCAGCCGTGATGGGCACACAGGATTTTTGAATGGAAGGGGCACGACCTGCGAACTGGCCCCCCATGCCGAAAGGCCCCCACCAAAAAAGTACGGCCTTTTTAAATTATTTTGGGTATAGGTAGGGTCACCACTTTGATTCATGACACTCCCCTCGGAGTTTTCCTGGATCCGCCCCTTTACATGCGTGCGTGTGCACCTGGGAGCTTTGGGGTGCCCTGGTGGAGCTTTGGTGGAGCTGATTGTCAGCTCTTTAAAAAAAGCTTTTGAGTATTCAAAGGCTATTTATCGCTACACAATAGGCGCCTGAAAAGCTGTTTTAGAAAAGTATAGCTGTTTATGGTGCTAAACTAGTTTGATTTATAATGTCTGCTTAATTGTTGCCAATTTTATTGTCATTGGAGTTGGTTTAGGTGGTGTGTAAAGGGCTTAAATATTTGAACCTTTTGCCCATTTTTAAGGCATTGTTCAGTATAACAGCTTATGAAAGCATTAGAGTGAAATGTCAGCACTGCGAATAGTTACGATAGAATACTGCTACACAGTGCATATATTTTCATTATCGCTTATGCATGACGTCCCTTCCGACTGGAACATGGATTTAGTCGTATACACTTCAAATACATGAAAACGGCAGCACATACATTCAATTATTCGGCACACATACAACGCGTTGCTTTTAGGTGCCATTGAGCCAACTAAGTTCTGAAATAACATCAATGTATGGCCGAGCTTACGACGGCCACTTACTACGCGAACACAGAAATTGATATGCGCTGGAGTTGGGCTGCACCATGTGAATACCATATTTTGACTTTACGATCTTTATCTCATACGATCATTTGGCGTACGATCATTTTCCTTGACGATCTTTAGCGAATACGATATTTTGTCCATACGAGCATTATGTCGTACGATCTTTATCCATTACGACTTTTTGGCATACGATCATTTTTCTTGACGATCTTTAGCGAATACGATCTTTTGTCCATACGAGCATTATGTCGTACGATCTTTATCCATTACGATCTTTTGCATACGATCTTCTGCCATACGATCTTCTGCCATACGATCTTCTGCTTTACGATCTTTTGTCCGGTTACCCTAGCCTACTACTCGACTGCTGCGCCACCTACCGAAAAGACAAAGTCCTTCCCCTTGAAGTGCTCCTCGGCGATTTTGACGCAGTCTCCGAGGGGAATGATGAGACCGGCTGGTTCTCTCCTGCGCAGGGAGGGTGCCAAATCGAACACCTCGAGTCTCTTCACACCCTGGTGGCTGGCGGGGTACAGCACACACTGCTTCTTCACCCACGGCTGGCCGGCAGAAGACGGGGAGCCGACGGCAGGAGGAAATAAGAGCATGCAAAGTATGGTAAGATAATGTTAAAACATTATGCAAAAAAAGATCGGGAAAGTATCATACGCCAGTCCGACTTATCGTGGTATGTTTTGTTGTTCGGGACCAGCATAAGACAAAAAAAATGAGCGAAATGAAAAATTATGCTAAGGCTGCTATCGGAACTCTCGCCAAGACAGTGAGTGAATCAAAATCGTATTTAGCGGCTAGCGCATAAATCAACACTAACTATAGCTCATAAACAGTGCATAAACAACACTAACTATACTGTTTCCACCCCAAACCACCGAATGACACAGAGCATGGCTTCTATCTTCACTCACATATGCTAACGTACCTTATTTAGCAGGAGCTGCAGCCAGGTCGAGGGCGGCACCTGCAGAAACCCCGACTTTATATCCTCCTTCTGCATGGTGCTGACCAGCTGGTTCCAGCTTTCCCTTGGAGCTCCTTCCTCGTCACTGCGCCGTCACTTCGCTGTTACTCCGTGCTGTAGCCCTGCTGTCACTCGGTTCACTGCTGGATTCTCTGCTATCTGGCCAGCTGTCTGCCCAGCTCTGCTTTGCTTTCTGCTACCTGGCTCTATCGCTCCACACCAAAGTAACACAAACCAATAAACCAATAAACACCACAAACACAAACCAATGAACACCGCACAACAGCGAGCACAACGGCGGCACACGAACGGTCGGTCGCCCAGTCGCTCGCCCGGTCGACAGTCAGGCCAGTCGGCACGAGACATTTGGCCGGATGTGCGCTCGCCGCTATCGGCACCACCGGACGTGGAGTCGGAACGGGCGCCCTCCCCAGCTCCGGCTTGGGCTTCGTCCCGTCCCGGCCGGATCCAGAACGAACCCCGATCGACCGTCTACCGTTGTCTCGTAAGATTCAGCAGCTCTAGGGTGGATGGAAACGGACTGGAGAAGAGGATCTGGTAGGGCATGTGGGGAAAAAAAATGAAAGGCGCACGTAGGATCAGAGTGATCAATGATCAATGATAATATACGTGGAGTTTATACACAGATTGAGAAAGTTAAATCCAGAAAGAAGGGTAAGATTAGTCAGGAATGACATAAGCGACATAAGTGGCCAATTACAAAAGAAACATTGTTTATATTTCAATAGAACGGTTTATAAATTGCAGACGTGCAGCTTATATTTTCACGAGTTATATTTACTGTTTTGAGTTTCCTTTGAGCTTAAGTCCTCGAGTGTCGTATGCATTTGCATAAAAAGATATTGCCGTTATGTCACTCAAATAGACTTACCTGGTCTGATCCGTTCCAGGCAGCTGATAAACTCGTCGCAGCGTTAAACAGGATTAGAACGCGATATAAGTTACTTTTTATCATAAATACCCTTAAAATTACTTTGAAAACAATAAAAACTTGCTTTTTCCGATGGTTCTAGTCCAAAGTGTTTTACGACAAAGTTTCCAATTCTCATAGTCATATATCACAGTTACAATCGATTGCCTATTACAGTTACAACAATATTTTAGCGTTAATGTTATGCTTATCGACTCAGACTGACGTCCAAACCAATAAGTCAGAAACACGTAAAGCATACATACATATTGCATGTACGAACTCGGGCACTGCATTACCATCGCACAAACTCTACTCATCGACACTCATCCACGTTCAACGCTCATTCACACACCATTCGCGCACCATCCTTCACATCCATTCTTAGGAGAGGAGAAACGTGAGACATCGTACAGTTGAAAAACTATTACTCAAACATGACTGAGGGTTCAGGGTGGTAAGGCTGCGCTATTCATTGAACGTAACTCTGTTTACTTAAAACATATACAAAAAAGCAAGCATGATCATTAACTAATACCTACATTTCGTAAGTTGGCAGCCTTGATTTAAACGCCTACTTTTGTACCCTCTCTGGCGTTCATTACCATCAAAACAAGGTCAAATACGATTATTTGAAAATACTTCAATGAGTTCCGCAAGGTTTTCCTCGGCCATTCTAACTTGAATCTAGTAAATGCCATCCTCAAGCGCTCCTTATTGAAACTCTCTCCTACCTATCACCCCTCCCGTCTGGCCCGCTCGGAAACGACTTACCATCGCAGGGAGCCAGGCCCTCCGGGCTCCACGTGCCGTTCAGACAGAGGAAGGTGTCCGCCAGGCCCGCGCCGCCGCAGCTGTAGGTGGCGTTACGGACTCCCTCTGCGTACGGCCCCGTGTCCGTGTACGGCACTCCGTCGGCGCTGGCGTTCAGGCTAGGACACGCGTCTGACGGATACGGGGAGCGGCGGTCAGTTCGGGGAGAACACTGTAAGAAAGCAAGGCTGAAGCGATATCCGTGTATGTATCGGTTTGGAAGTGGCAATTTGATATTCTGAGATAAAAATCATCGAAATGTTTGTAAATCGATGCAGTACATTTATTAGGTCTGATTGGTAGGTAGATGTTCAAATTAGCCCGGGACCCAGTTAGTTATCCAGTCACAAATTTCTCCTCGTTTTCGCTCTTAAATCCTCCCCCTCCCCTACCCTTCACTCACTGCTGAGATCAGCGCAGGGCACTGCGTTCTCGGGCGTCCACTCTCCATCCTTCCAGACCAGCTCTGTGACGCCGATCCCGCAGTCGTAGGTGAGGGTGTAGGTGACGGTGCCGTTCTCATCGGTCACGGGCCCCGAGTCGGTGACGAACACCCCCGGCGGAGCGGCCGGAGGAGCCACCGGGTAGCCTAGGGAAAGAGGAGAGGGGTGGGGGTGGTGCAGACCAACTTATGTCGTTAGTGAGCGACATCGAGCTGAGTCCAAGAGCATGGTAAACTGAAAATAAAATCGCATCATGTTTTTTATAATTAGGATAATATTGTAGGTTGAATCGAATGACAATTTAAAAACATGAATAACGGCAGGATTTTATGATTGTGAGTACAAAAATACTAATTGGCTCGGACCTCTCTCATTCAACCCATAAAACTTATCACATCTCCCCTCCACTACAAAACAAGACCAACAATCTGGGTTCACCACTCTCCTCTGCATCTTACCTCACCGCGTCCGTCACTCCATCATACCTGGCTGACAGGGCGTCGCTCCGGCGGTCCAGGAGCCGTTCTGGCAGAAGACCACCGCCTCGGTGCCGTTCTCGCAGCTGTAGGTGGCGTTCCTCTGGCCGGAGGCGAACTGGCCGTAGTCGGTCACATTCGTACCCTCCGGCGCGGCCGGGGCAGCAGGGCACATATCTGAGGGACACGGGCGGTGAGTCATTGTCGGTAAAGATGTTCCGCTACTTTGACGCTGTAGGCTTTTTATCGTTGAATGGGTGGAAACAGACTGGGGAACCTACTGAGTAACATATATTTGTACAGCACAACGGACTCTATGTACATGGCAACGAATATCACACGTGAACCGACCACTTCGCTCACGTTTGTAGCTGCTTCATCTCAAGCCGTTCTATTTTCGTACGTTGACAGCACGAGCGAGACATCACTGTCGTTGTAATTGAGGCATCACTGACTGAGGTATCACTCTCGCTATAACTGAGGTATCACTCTCGTTACAACTGAGGTATCAGAGCCGCTGTAACTGAGGTATCACGCACGCTTTAGCTGAATTATCACTGTATCGCTATGACTAAGGTAGGCATCTCTCGTCACTCACTGACGGCGGCGGCGCAGGGTGTCTGATCGGTACTCCAGGTGCCGTCCTCCAGACAGCGCAGCACCGTCGTCACCCCGTTCAGACACCGGTAGGTGGCTGTCCGGTTCGGCTCGGTGCCCTTACCGGTGTCCTCAGGAGCTGTGCCGTTGTATGTGTCCACCGGCGGGTCGGAGCAGTGCACTGTGGAGACAGGGAGGGGAGATGAAACGTTATCGCAATCGGATCTCTAAACCACTGATGGGATGGAGAGCTCGGTGAAAATTCAATTATCAGATGATCCGGGAATGTTTAACGCTAAGCCAAAGCCGCTGTCACTATGGAGGAAAGCAGTTCCTGTCATTTGTAGGCTGTTGATCAAATTATCTTCTAGAAATTTGTCTCAAGCTTTTAACAAGCTTTATAAGAACGAAAGGAAGACGGTTTCTAGCATTCTATAGTATCCAGAATGATGATGATCATCTGTAGGTAGGTAAAATGCTGCCATCCCACACACCCCTGGGCACTGACTGGGCATCGTGTCGCAGGGGTCGGCGGCGCTGTCCCAGCCGGCGGCTCCGCACGTCACCAGTGCCTGGACACCACTGGTGCACGTGTAGTTGGCCACGGCACCAATGGCCCGGTCACCAGACCAATCCCGAGAGGCTGAGAGGTTTTGGGCCGGCGGGTCACCCTGGCAGTCTGCGGCGGGGTAAAGGGGGGGGGGAGTGATATCCAAAGAGTACCATTATTTTTTTCTGAATTCCTGTGCACATGCTGACAGTCAACTATGACTGTCAGTGTCAACTATGACAGTCAATTATGATTTATTCTAGGCAATCACTTCCAGAAAATAGCATAGCTGTTTGTTGGCTTTTCACATAAAACATAAAAGTGACGTTTCACAATTCACCAATATCTAAGCATTACCAAATACTAAAGTCGCTGAGGAGTTAACATGTAGTGCAACTGTGTACTTTTCCTTTTTTACGCATTGCGCATTGCGTGGAATAAGTACATACACTACCTTTGCAGTGTACTAGAGTGTACTAGACGCAGTGTACTAGACGCAGTGTACCAGCAATATTCACAAGCACATAGTTTATCGAAGCTGTGTGGGCCCCGTGTCACCCTACTCACGGGAGCAATTAGTTGTGACGCTCCATCCTGCCGGCTGGCACGTCTCTGTGAAGGTGGTCCGTCCCTCCTCGGTGGCCAGGCCGTCCGTACAGTTGAACGTCACGGTGCTGCCCTCCTGGACCCCAGGCTCCGTGGACACGGGCACCGCGTTCGACTCCGGGCTGGCCACGGGAGCGACGCATCCTGCAGAGCGCGGCAGCGAGCGGGCGGGACGTGATTTAGTGGGTGTTACTGGGCTAGGGATTGAAGATTTGATGGGAAGGGGAACTTAAGAGGGATATGGCACCCGTCTATGGTGAGGCTTTCGTCTGCTCACTTGTTCAAGGATGGGGACAGAGCTGTCTTGCTTAGATCGTGTTTAGTTTTAGAATGCCCTCAGGACATGTATTTATCCACCGGCCAGGTAGTCGGCAATATGCGTGAAAAATTAGTGTCGTAGTGAACCGGATTGTCCCCCTCACGACCCACCTATTCACGAGCATACTGCAATACAGTTCCCACTTTTCGTCTATTTTCACTGTCACACCTCTGCGGGCTGTCTCAAATCCCGCCTAACGAGTACAGGGAAGCGGGCTATCTCAAATCCTGATTATGTATAACTACTCGGACTCACTGTCACAGGGCAGCAGGCTGTCTCAAATCCCTTCTAATTGCTGTCACAGGGCAGCAGGCTGTCTGAATCCTATACTCACGATCACAGGGCAGAGGGCTGTCGGCTTGCCACCCGTCCGCGGTACACGGGAACACCTGGACATCCGTGAGGTTGCTGTGCAGCTTGCCGGCCGGGCAGGTCATGGTCAGGGTGCTGTTGTCGAGCAGCACGCCCTCCCAGGTGACTGTGTAGCCAGTGACGTTGGCACTGGGTTCAGGGCACTCTGGGGAACGGCGGTGGGAAGGGAGTTATTAGACGGGGTGATTTGCTTGGGTTGTGTTGCACTGTCTCTGGCATTTCGTATGCCACTCTGTAGAGGTAGCGTAATTCATTGATGCAAATATTAAAGCATTGCAGATAGTTTATGTCCTTACGTCTAATCGATAAAACAAATATACATTGCTCTTAGCTAAAAAGCGGCAATGCTTCTAATAAATGACCACACACCTTTGGTTAAAAAGACAAGTCCAAAAGATCAAGATAAAAATCAAATGTCTTTCATAACACGCATATTGTCATTTTTTGCCACAAGTCTATTTCCGAACAGCTCCTTCTGTCCTCCACTGTCACCGACGAGCCACAGGCCAGACTAGTCTGTCCCCGTGATTGACTCACTGTCGCAGGGTAGGAGCGAGCTCTCCCATCCCTGCAGCTCACAGCCCAGAGTCTGGGTGGCGTTCTCTCCGTCCAGGGACAGCGGAGCGATGCAGGTGTAGTTGGCAGTCTGGTTCGAGGCGCTCCATGTTCGGTTCATGTTGGCAAGTGGCGCCGGGGGCTCTGCCACGCACACTGACACACGCAAAAAGGTTAGGTCAGGTCAGGTCGGAGGTCGGACTCTCTACCGTAGGTCAATAGGTCCAGATTTGGTGGTATATCGGTCGAGTGTTGTTGCCAATGGGCAATGACTGCATGGATTTTTGTCGCCCTAGACTTTATTAGCCCAGAAGGAATGTGAATTGCGCCAATAAAAATATGGCATCCAGCGCTCAGGCGACGGGATCATCGAGGTTCTGTAGTTGAGTCATTTTTTCATATTTTGCTAAAGGAAAATCCAATGCCATCAAATTTACCAGGATTAGACCAAATAAATGTTGGTCTTAGCGGAGCAGCGCTTAGCGATTCATCCATTCGGGCAAAAAAAAAAACAGTATTCTTCACTCACTGGAGCAGTTGTGGAAGGTGTGGCAGGAGAACCAGCCGTCGGGCATGCAGACGGCGCTGGTGATCCTGTTGCCCGTTTCGAAGGCCTTGCCGGCCGGACAGCTGTAGATGATGACGTTACCCAGAGTGCTGGCAGGCGGCATCTGTACCGTGACTGAAGTGTTGTCCACGGAAGGCAGGTTGACACATACTGTCGGACGATACGGGAATGCTTACTTTGGACAAGTAAGTCATATACATTATCGGGAGTTGGTATTTGACTATCGGGACCGTACCTGGTGCTATAAATGATCATATTTTGACGCTCGTCGTAGCCTAAAAAGAAGCAATATCAACAGGGCTCCATTTAGCATTGGATTCGGAGCAGCCTTGTGAGTCTTTAAATTCGATTATCAACTGATGTCGCACTGTAAATCACTTATAACTATACAGCTGCAACGGTTCAGCAAACTATCGATAATGACCACGCTGATTTTCTTGCACTGAAATGCCTGACGACCGTACCCCGCCGCCAGCACCCACTGACCGTTACACGGGCTAAGGACGGCCGGTGTCCACCCGGTGGGGCCGCAGGTGACCGTCTGGCTGGTCTGACCCTCAGCCGTGGTCATGTTGGCTGAACAGGTAACCGTCACAGTCTGGCCCTGAGAGCCGCCTGTCGGCGTCTCGGCCAGCACCAGCGTCTCGTCGAGGGAGGGGAAGCCGGCACACTCTGGGGGTCGGGTGGGGAGACGCGTCAGCCGCGGAGGGGCGTTATACACAGGGAAAGGGGCGTGTACGCAGAAAACTGGCGTCGTAAACAGGGAACTCGCGTCCAACACAGTGACAATGACGCCGTTTGGGAGGAAACGGATGGGTGATTCGAGGTGGAATGAGGTGGTTTGAGGTTGAAGTAGCGTAATTTGGCAAGTCTTTGCTTGGAACGGCTGCCTAACTATGTTTTATGTAGGTGGTAAAGAAGTAGCTTTGCCGAATACGAGCGAAGTGGCACAAATATACACTTCAAGAACGAAATATGCGTAATAAGCACTAGAAACATCCCTGCTTCCCTAGTTTCCCGTTCTACCCCCAATTGCCACGACCCACATCCCGTCTCTGGCTCGCTCACGTGTGCAGTTGGCCGGCAGAAGAGGTTCGTACAGGCCCGTGTCCTGGCAGGCAATGGTCGACTCGGGTGCACCATCGGGTGTCAACAGACCGGCTGCGCACGTATACGTGTACGAGGTCTGATTGCTCGCCTCGACAGGGGTCCTGACAGAGTTGGCCGGGGCGGCCGGTGGAGAGCCGCACTCTGAAAAATGAGTGGAATGAAACTCCGTGAAAGGATGTGAGGGAAAGAGGGTTTGGGGAGAATGCAGGAGAGTGAGCTCTCCTGACCAAAATTGATTTAATCGAAGAAAAGATATTGCTCAAATTACTTAAATATCCTGCTTAAAAGTAAATAAAATAAATTGCTTCCGATAAGAGCTGAGATATCTATCAACGAATGAAGCAGATTAATAATGTCATAATGGTGAGTTTATAAAGTTTGCGTAAGTCCAATTTCATTCCAACTTCACTTACAGCCACCATGAAGTGGTGCGGTTCCCATGCATATATTTAACCCGGCAGTTGCTGGGGTATTTCGCCACCCACCGTTTGCTGGGGGGGGGGGGGGCGTTAAACGCCCCCAGCCGATAACTCGAGAACCAATAGGCGCAGCGAAACGCACGAGGCGGCAAACGAAAGAACGCGACGAGACGCTTCAGATGAGTACTTAAAAATTGAATTTTGAGGTCACAGGTCGGGTCAAGGTCAGGTCAAACACCTGAAATCGGGCTTTCAGTAGCATGGACTTCAGGACTTCGCAAAGGGCGCCTCTCGTCATAAACTCTGTCAAAACGGTGCACAATCCATCATATAAGGCCTACAAGAGTGTCAGCTCCATGTAGGGGTCAGTCAAGCATAGGTCAGGGTCAAGGTCAGGTCAACCGGGTAGGCACATATCCCCGAAAATCAAAACTGATATTCGCAGCCTGTGACACATGTTTTATAGGTAATTTGGGGCGTAGAACACGATGGTGACATTCATTTTATCATATGTGTACGTGTTTGGCTCAAAAAGTTCAATTTAAGAAATGCATGTATCATGGTCGTGAAGCAATCACGAGAAATTGCCAAGATTCAGTTCAAGATTATGGAAAATGCGGGACGATAATCAATAATCGAAGATAGCCATTTGATTGATCATGGTATTGGCAGTCTAATGGCGTTTACGGCATGTCTGTATGTCTATTCTGTGATTTTATATGATTTTTTGAACATATGCCGTTTTTGGTCGAAAACTCAGAAATCATGACGTCACTAAAACCTCGATATCTCAAAAATTTTCCGACCGATTTTTTTGAAACTTTGTCACAACAGACTTCAATCAATTCCCTACAGGTACCCAAAATTTGGCGCGCCTGCGGCGCGCCGTTTTTATGCTATGGCCCAGCGAAAAAAGTGGGGGCGTTTAACGCCCCCCCCCCAGCAACTCGCGGGTTAAATTCATTAGCTGCCATGCCACAATGCTATCAAGAGTCACACATACCACAATGCGCCACTTTACTAATCGGGCCCCGTTGGTCCTGTTGCAACCACCCGCACCTCACCCGTGCACCCTGTGTCACTCACTGCGCCCTGCATGTCACTCACTAGTCACACACTCCCCCAGCTTTGCGGGCAGCCAGTTGCCCAGGGCGCCGTGACAGGTCACCACGGCCGCTGACTGTTTGGTCACGTTGAACATCAGACCGGCTGTACAGCTGGCGTCGACTGTCGTGTTCAGAGCGAGGCTCTGAGGAGCCGTGGTGCCCGCCGGTAGCACGGGATTCGAGTAGCAGTCTGCTCAGAGGGGGAAAGGGGTTAGAAGCTGCCTGGTTAGAGAGGGAGAGGGGTTAGAAGCTGTCTGGTCAGAGGGGGAGGGAGTTAGAAGCTGTGTGGTCAGAGGAGAGAGGGGTTAGAAGCAGTCTGATCAGAGAGGGAGGGGGTTAGAAGCAGTTTGGTTAGAGGAGGTGGGGAGGGATAGTCGACACTCGACAGTTGCAGTCTAGCTATAGAGAAGGTCAGTAGCAGTCTGCTCAAGACGAAGTGTGCGCAGGGGGATGGAAGGGGTCGATAAAGGTAGGAATGATAAACAATTAAACATTTATCAACACCATTAAGACCCAATGTTTTTAATTAATACCGTTTGCACTACGACCCAGTGCACAGAGGTGCGTACAGTTAGCAGTTACTTACGAACCTGCTTCCGGCTGGGATGTCACAACATATCGTTAAATAGTTTTCGCACGTTTGATTCGCACCCATATAACCGAATTCACCACCGCTACTCCATCACGTACCCGTGCGCCTGGGATAGACGCAGAGCACTGACGGTCCGATTGCGGTGATCTCCAGAGCGGCGTCGCACGCGACGGCCGCCGTCTCGCCCACGGACGTCGTCGGGCTGACCAGCAGACACTGTTTGGTGACGTCATCGTCGGTTGCCAGCTGAATCTCCTGCACGGTAGTGCCGTCAGAGTCGCGCCAGGTGACGTTGTCGGCACTGCCGGGGCCGAAGAACGGGACATGTCGGCAGTCAGGTGGTGGATGGGAAAACGCTGGAGCGACTGCATTTCAAAGTGTAGGTAGGCACACAGCTGTACCAAATGTCAAAAATGGATTAGGAAGATGTATACCATCGGAAATTGGATGATTTGATTTTCAGCTATTCCGTTTTTGGCATCAGGTAAAAATGCATACCTACCTAATACCTATTTGTGCTAAAACTCGCTCGATAGCTGAGCTCAGACGCACCGACCAACAATCAAATACGTGTCTTTCAGCACCTGCACATACCGTCGGTTCACGGTGCTAATATAGGGCATAGTCAGCCCCTCGCCGCCAGTGGCCGGCGGCAGCGCTGCACCCAACTCGGTGGCACATTGACGACTGGCATCCTCAGGCGTCATGGGTGCGGTGTCTTTCGTCACCACAATGGTAGCGTAGCAGCCCCAGACGTCGTGGAGGACAAAGTTGGGCGGGCACCGTCCTGTTGGCAGCAAAGCGGGGGGGGGGGGGCGGAGGAGACTAAGTGTAAGGGGAATTTGAGCAGCTCGTGCCGGAAAAGACAAGCGAAAATTTGACACTAACCATGTGGTCTTTGTAGACCTTTTAAACTACGTGGACTATTTGCGTGAGGCGGCTCTACTGCATGCTTACTTCAAAACTTCCACTTTACCATCAACAACTCTTCGCCAATTAGGTATTAAACTCGCTCCTACTGACTTGGCTTTTGGCAGACGACTCCCGTGGTGGCGACCGGCTCAATCGGAAAACAGGGCTGAGAGACGAACTCGCCGCCGGCGAAGAAGAGGCAGTCGTTTGTACCGGTCGCAGAGGTCGGGATTAGAGTGTCGTTGACGAGTCCGGCAGCCACAATACCGTTCCTAGAACAGACAAAGGCGGTGTTGTCCAAGTGTTTGATGGAGGTAAATGTAATGTATTGGGTCAAATTGTGCTTCCTTCTTTTCTACGCATTTTGCAGCCCGTACCAAGACGTTCCTTACATTCATCCTAGTATTTTTTTTATACTTGCGTATTTTATTTAACAAATTGCCAGTCTTCTTTCATATAAAGTCGGATAATAAGAAGGAAGTCATGGACGTGCCACTCACTGGCTGGAAAAGGTAAAAAACTGGTAGTAAGAGGGCACGTAATTCCGTGAATTACGCCATGTTTTGCCAGTGACCGTCTATCGACGTGTTTCAACACTGACCGTCTATCGACGCTGGTGAAGACGCTCTGCTGGGCGGCCACCTGCCGAAAGGTCTGTAGCGTGCTGTTGGTGAGGAAGGGGTTAGCCAGAGAGGCGCCCTCGCGCAGACACACCTCCCACGCCTTCTGCAGGCTGGTCGCCTCCTGGATGGCGACGAATTTCAGACAGGCTTGCCGGTCGCCAGATTCTAGGTTTGAGCCGTAGCCCGCATCGCAAGGCACTGAAAACGGTGTGGTCGTAGACGTTATGCTGGTGATAAAATTGAAATGCGATAGACTTCGGCACATGCAAAGACACCAAGTTTACCTGCTAGTCAAATCATTAAATAGTAATCCCGTCACGTGAATGCCACAAGTGAAAAGGTCTTTAGTTTATATAACAGCGAAATAACGAAACAAAATATCATAGTTTATATTCCTGTTCTGGATAAAGTCATTGCCATTGATAAAGAATGACTGGTTGGGTGTAGTGCATTATCAATCTCTCACCGATGCAGCGGGGCCCGCCGTCGAGCGCCTCTGTCACGCTCGGTTCCCAGGCGTGGGTGCCAGAGGCCAGCTTACAGGTAAATATTTGACTGTTCGGCACTGTGCTCGCATCTTCACCAGACATGAGCTAAAACATGGACAAAGGGGCCGACGGTGTGCGAATGTGGTCCAGTTTGAACCCTTTGTTTAAACATACGGTGAAGCAAAAATCTCATTAATAACTACACGTTATCATGCTACTTTAACAAAACACTTTGACACATGCATGCTCAGTGCACAGTGAGCCTTTGTCGACAAAATACCTATCGAATATCGATTAATGACGATAAATAGTGGTTTTGGAAATCCATCAAAAACTCAAGCGACGAAATTATAAACTTGCATTTTCAGACCCAGTTTCATTCATGTATTACAAATTAGAAGCGCGAGCCTGTCGAGATAAACACCGAGGGATAAGAGCTTAGGACGCAATACGGCCGTCAAAGGAGTAACCATAGAAAGAAAAAAAAACCCTCTTCATTGCCCTCCCCCCTTTTCCCTCCCTCTGACCAGATTAGCCTGCTGTGTGTTCCACAGGAGAATCTCGCCGGGGTTGCTGCAGGCCACCTCCACCGTGCCGCCCGGGCCGCGCCAGTATCGACTGTAGCGCACCGTCATGTTCAGGCTGCTCGCTGCGTCGGCGGGGAAAGGGTGCAGCGGTGGACAGGCCAGCTCTGTTGGAGGAATGAGACTCGGTTCAGTCACAAGTCGGCTGGACGCCATTCGCCGTACCTATGTCGCGGTGTCATCACAGCTCAACAGGTTTCAGAACAGCATCGGGGTCGCATGTGATGACTTGGAAACTGGGCATAAGAATGCATGTGTATTTGCGATGGCCATGAAATGTTAAATGTCATCTGCAGCATTGTTAAAAACTTACGCATTTCTTAATATAAATCTAGGCATAGACCACTATATATCTGTCTAGTGTCTATGATATGTAGGTACATATAGTGGTCTATGATCCAGACAATAAAAACATTAACCTAATGATAACGAACTATTGAAACTGTTAACGTGTTTCTTAAGACATTTAACACTTCAAATTATTTCTTAGCATTTTTGTAGCATTTTGGGTTTAACTTACGGCTATCGTTAACAGTCGGGCGTATGCTCATTTCCACTGAACTCAACGGCGCGGTCGTGCTTGTCCCTGCAGCGTCATCCGTTGTCTGAAACAGCGCAAAGTTAGTAATTTTTCAGTGTCTCAAGAATCCTGATCAGTACGGCATGAAAAACCGAATCCATTGTGGGGCACGAAATAATGAATGATAAATCCGACCTCCTTGCCAGTAATATAGTGACAGATAATTGTCTGCGTCCGTATTGAGGACGTCGATCGGAGCTAAATTTTGAGCGCAAATGATACCTGCTTTACCACCAAACCCATCTCGTGTTTGGTATTGCGATTTGCGAAAGTGTCGATTAGTCAGTCGGGCATGTCTCATGGGTCTGGTTTCGGTCCCACTTTGGGAGCTAATAAAGGGGCCATGAGCGGCTGTAGCCGTTTTCACGACGGGCTATCCGGCGAGTGCACCTAATTTGACCAAATCTGCACCTAATCTCTTTTACAGCAAATATCTTTATTTTATAATTTATTTCAGTGTTTTAATCGATGATACTCTCTGATAATATGACAAAGCAGGCATATAAGCAAATAGTGCAACCCTAGCTGATAGCTGCTAAGAGACACACTGAACCTGATTTGACCAAATCTGCACCTGATCTGCACCAGATGTGCACCAAATGTGTACCAGATGGCCGTCGTGAAACGGTTTGTGCGTCAGACGCTTACCTGCACCGGCTCACACTCGGGGAGCCACCAGTAGCCGAGACAGGGGCCGGTCATCCGAACTCCGTCGTACACGCTCTTCTCAAGACCTGCCCAACCAAATCGCCGAGTACATTTTGATTATGATTCTTGAGTTATGACTATGCTCTTCATATGATTCAATGGAATGACAATGTATGGTCTGTTAGAAGTTGGCCTAAACATAGGTCATGCATAAGTTAATAATTTTTAGTCGTTTCTTTTATCAATGAATCGCTTTTAAAATGGGTCATGCCTTTACCACTCAGTAACAACGAAAAAGGCAACAATTGAACTGCACCGTGATCTAAGCATCGGATCACTTTCTTAGTAAAGCTTAGGAAGATTGTTCGTTAAGCTTGAGATATAGGCATAATAAACGAAAATACATTGTTTGATCCGACCTGTACGACTTCTCACAATATTAATAAGCATTTTAATTGGACCTCGGAATGTCTTTATCATGATTTTTTATTGAAAATTAAATGAAATATTCATAGGTCTATGGAAGACCGATGATAGCACAAACAATTAAAGGTACCAAGGGCTAAGAATTAGCCTGGAGCCTAAAGCCCATAATAGGGGTTATGAGGCAAGTCACTTCAAAAGCGAAACCATGTCAATTCGCACAATGTAGTCGTCATGCTTACCGATATTGCCGTCTTTGTACGTCATGGATAACGACAAAGTTACTCCTTCAATTCGGAACAACTCGAACAGACCGACTTTCCAGTTTCCCTGTGTGTCATTGGCTCTGATCACTAGTGTCATGTTGACATCAGTCATCTGCGCCAGGGCCGTGGTGCCTGGAAACGGACGAGTTTCAGACCTTCAACAATCATTCCGAGAAAATGCAGCGCCTGTTGGTTAGCTCTACGGCATGTACGTATTTACTAACACTGCACACACAAAAAAAATTATAAAAATAATAGGTATATATGAGACACACAGACGAAAGCAAAAACTGTTTGTATATACACAATAATTCAATTTGCTGAAATACTTTCACCCATCGTCTGTACCGCTCGCCTAATGCTGTTCACCGTCTTGTACCACTCACCTATATCACTTTCCCCTATTTCGCTCACATAACTATATGGTCCATTGTCTGTCGTCCATCAACTATCATCATTACATCATCCACCGTGTGTCCCGCTCACCTAGGTATAAAGTCCGTCGCCTGTCCCGCTCACCTACTCGTATATCGTCCACCATCTGCCCCGCTCACCTATCATAATGTCCACCGCCTGCCCCGCTCACCTATATCGTCCTCCGTCTGTGTCGCTCACCTATGTATATCGTCCCCCTTCTGTGTCGCTCACCTATGTATATCGTCCCCTTATGTGTCGCTCACCTATATCGTCCCCCTTCTGTGTCGCTCACATGTGTATATCGTCACCTTCTGTGTCGCTCACCTATGTGTATCATCCCCCTTCTGTGTGGCTCATATATGTATATCGTCCCCCTTCTGCATCGCTCACATATGTATGTCGTCCCCCTTCTGTGTCGCTCACCTATATCGTCCCCCTTCTGTGTCGCTCACATATGTATACCATCCCCTTTTTGTGTCGCTCACCTTTATCGTCCCCCTTCTGTGTCGCTCACATATGTATATCGTCCCCCTTCTGTGTCGCTCACCTATATCGTCCCCCTTCTGTGTCGCTCACCTATGTACATCGTCCCCTTTCTGTGTCGCTCACATATGTATATCGCCCCCTTCTGTGTCGCTCATATATGTATATCGTCCCCCTTCTGTGTCGCTCACATATGTATATCGTCCCCCTTCTGTGTCGCTCACCTATATCGTCCCCCTTCTGTGCCGCTCACCTATGTACATCGTCCCCTTTCTGTGTCGCTCACATATGTATATCGCCCCCTTCTGTGTCGCTCACCTATGTACATCGTCCCCCTGCTGTGTCGCTCATATATGTATATCGTCCCCCTTCTGTGTCGCTCACATATGTATATCGTCCCCCTTCTGTGTCGCTCACCTATGTATATCGCCCCCCTGTCGCTCACCTATGTATGCATATCGTCCTCCTGTCGCTCACCTATGTAGGTATGCATATCGTCCTCCTGTCGCTCACCTATCCAGAAGTTTCCGTACAGAGAGCCGGAGCCGGTGGCGTCCGTGGCGGTGTCCCAGGATGTCTCGAGGCCGGTCTGATTTTGCCACAGCACGCCGGTCCAACCGCCTCCCTCAGAGGCTGTGGCGTTGTTGTAACAGTACACCTGCGGCGTAAAACGAACGGAAACGTAAAACGAACATAGTCGGAACGGTGGGATATGATACGCAGGATGTGGCTATTTGGATGCAGATGCCGAAATTATTAGCCCTTTTCACGATGTAACATTGGGTACCTATTTGATTGAAGTTGAAGGCAAAGAACCAAAGCAACATTCGAAAGATGGAAGCAACCCTCCCCTTTATTAAAAGACTACTAAAATTTCTCGGGTTCAGGTACCCATCGGATTTAATGCCTACAGTCCATTGTTCCGTCGTGAGAAGTGCTATTGCTGAAAGCTGCTCTGAACAGCGTATGTAGTCTGTACCTATGTATAGTAAATGGCTTACGCTTTAATGACCAGCTGAGAATGTAATTTTTGCCTGCAAGTGCAATGAATGAAAGCAAGGGACACTGAGTTTTGAGATTAATAGAATGACGGAGAATAAGATTTACCTAGGTACTGAACAATCAAGAAAACAGAAGTCATAAATTTTTATAGCAGGTTATACCTATCTAGTATCTATATCATATGAGTGCGCTAAATAACACTGTGGTCGCTTATTACAATATGGTAATAAAAAAGCACTAACCCCCGGCTCACATCACACGAGTGTAGGAACAGAAATAACGAAATGCAATGAATAATAAATGTTGTTACTAATGCAAAGACTATGCCTACTTACCCTGTTGAAGACAGTGTCGCTGCCGACAATATAAATGTCGCTGTTATTTATTTCCAGCTGGTAAAGCTCCATGCAGTCATTGAAGTTGAAGGAGCATTCGCCATTGACTGCGGCAGACCAACAGGGACAGTTACAACTCTGAACTGCGTATTCTCAACAGTTTCGAATAAATTAACTCAATCGTACAAAGACTAAGACGTCGGACCACATATAACGATTCACAAATGAAGTCAGTTCAAAAGTAAGGTGACATTAACCTCAGATTCAGAAAAATAAAACTTCTCTTGAAGCTCAATCCTACAGTTAAACAATTTATCAACACTCCGGAGGAAGCAAATGTCGGGTTACTTGTATGCAAAGTAGATTTATCCGTGGATGTAGCTCGGATAAATTATTATTTTCATACTAAAATCTCAAATGTTGCTCACCGTGAGGCAGCGTCACGCCGAGGATCAGGAGGGCGACCAGTACCAGCGGCGCCATCGTCATCAGCGCGGACGGCGAGCGCCGCGCGGGCGTCATCGCGCGGTGCCGGCGGCGGTCTGGCGCCGTCCCCGCGACCTGCGCCGCCGCCGCCGCTGCCGCCGCCGCCGCCGCCCAGGTCTCCGGGGAGACGCCAAACAGTGCCGCTGGTTGGTCGGCCGTGTCAAACCGTGACGCGACACGGTACAAACAGGAGACACCGGTCACCGGGAGACAGATCAGCACGGCAGCAGACAACAGAGTCTGGAGATGCCTTATGGTCAATGTCGAAGGCAATCAGATGCCGATTACCTGCAATTGTGGAATCAAAAAGTTGGGTTTTCACAAGTTTTCCATTTTTGTGATAACCAGCCAAAATGCCTATTATTTTGTCTTTTTTCACCATCCTCAAGCTCAAGCAATCACGAGATAACTCCCGCAGCAGCAGACCTGCCTGAGAGGCCACTCCGGCCGTTGCGTGTGATAGGTAGGCTGTGCCGCATGGCGTTCGTGTAATGCGGGTCACCTAACCAGCGCGGCACTCAGCGTCAGTCGCACGACAAAGCGATGGATCCCGTTTTCCACGGCTTTGCTTGTAATCGCACTGGGCAGGGGGGAAAGCAGAAGGGTGGTCTTGGAAGCTGCAGGGGGCATACCCCCAAAATTGATCCTCCAAATTCCCAAAACTTATCAGATTTCGATTCCTTACGCACTGCTGTGCAGTAACAAACTTTTCCTAATAAAGTTGTTTAGACCTCGTTTCATTCTCGAAGAAACGCAAATTTTCGTCGATTTCGGGCGCTGCGGAGGGGGGGGGGATTTGCCCCAAATGCCCTCTGGATCCGCCAGTGTAAGTGTATTTACTTGGAACGTACAAACAACGCGTGTCCTTTACCAATAAATAAATCTTCATACAATAGTAAGTAAACCCACGAGAACCACAATCGATGCCACAAACATACTACCTTGAAAAACGGCTTCGATCAATCCTATCCCCATGCATTGCAAAGAAGCTAGGTAAAGTGACAGTAAATAGATAAAATAATATTGAACTTTTCTGGCATCGAATTTCCGTGACGCGCGACAGGCTGAATCGTCAAAAACAAGACCACCTCGCGGTGAAAATAGTCATTAAGTCGCGGTGAGCTCACTGTGCGAGGGACTACAAATTGAGGTTCCGTCACGGAGCGTAAAAAACAGGCTTCAGTGGTCAGCACATACCTATCATCGGAGGAGTGGGTGCATATATATTTATTGACGTTTTGTAACGTAGGTCACCTAACCATAGGCGCCAGCCGCACCGTGCGCGGCTATGTGCGCACGTTTAACTTTGGATTCCGAATTATGCCATAAAACCGAAATTGCGCGATCGGAGGGTAGAGGGCAGGGTCAACGCAACAAGCGTCGCTTAGCGGGGGCTATGTGCTTGTGAATCATTCCATTCAAAAGGTTCGGACTATTTCTTTTTTAATTGACAAGGCTTTGGAGTTTGGAGGTAAAGTAGCTCACCTAGTTTTGAAACTTCAACAGGCAACAGTGAACGGTGCCTAGCATAGGCATTGTGCACATCTATTTCTTTTTTTAATTCAAACACCTTACTATAAATGAATTAGAAATTAAAACTAAATCGAAATTAACTCGCGCCCCACTGGGGGGCTATTCATACAAACTGCTTGATGTATCGACGCTTAACTTTCAGTACCTTCGGCTGCATCAATTTGACACCTTGTGTCAAATTGTGTTCGTAGTTACCATAGGTCGGCCGGAAATGACGTCAGAGTGACGTCATGTTCGGCCGATTTCGACGCAAAACATTGAACCACGGCAATCGCTCCAAGGAGCTCAGTTTTAAAGCCAGATCCAATTTCTTTGCATGAGAGGACTCAGAATAAACTGCACTATCAAACTGCCACCTCGGATTCTCAAAATTTTGACAATGTCAAAAATTACGCATATTAAATTTCAAAATCTATATTTCTATATTTTTTTAATTGACTTAAAAAACGGAATATATTGTTTCTTTGTAATTATCACCAACAAAGAAGTCCTCCACTAACAGGTGAAGTCAGGGAAATAAAATGCATCAACACACACAACCGCACACAACGGTATGAGGGAACCGCACGAGTATGAACATTCATTCAGACTGAAAACAAAAGCCACAGTTAAAAGTATAAATATGAGAATGAAGGTAAGAGTGAGAATACATGTATAAGTAAATATGAAAGTAAAAATAAAGAAAAACTTGGATATAAAAAACTACAATAAAAAACACAATAAAAGCCATCAGATGAGCTGAACAGCGAGTGTGACATGAGCAATGACATGACTATGTGGATAAAACATGATGGATCAAACGAGCCCTAAAAACTCCAAAGCTGTCAGAGAAGATGTCTGCGCTCGCATTACTTGCCAAAAAGGCGTTCATGTGTTTTGGGATCCTGCAGAACATCCCAGTTCCTATAGCTCACGCGTGCTCGTGGTACATTGAACAGTGTGAGGGTGCGGGTCGATCGGAGTGGCACATGTATATGGAATGAGTCAAGTTAGACTTGTGCATCGATTTTTCCTCGCACAATGTTTCTAAGAAAAATGATGTCGTGCTGAACTCTACGTTTTGCTAGGGTTGGCAATTTGAAGTGGGACAGAAGACTGTCATAAGGAAGTGAGGCTGTCTGTCCAGAAGTGCTATGAGATATGAGCCAGATGAGGAACTTGTGCTGCACCCGATCGACCCGCACCGTATGGGACTTGGCCGCCCCCGCCCAGACCACGCTGCCGTACTCTAAAATGGAACGCACGTTAGCGTAGTAGGTAGCCAGTGCCGCTCCGCGGTTGAGTTTTGACTCGCCGACACCGACCTGGAGCGAACGGATCAGAAGACCGAGAGCACGGTTTGCTCTGCTGACAATGTCGGACACATGCGGTTCAAATGTCAGCTTCGTGTCCGGAGTTACACCTAAGTCTTTAATTTTTGCAACAGATTCCAGCTCGGTGTCGGCGACACAATACTTGGTCCGGACGGGGGCACGCCTGAGAGTCATCGTGAAAGATTTGCTGTTGCATTTTGATGGATTTAGGGTCAGTCCCCACTCCCCACCTGACGGACCACGCTGACAGACGGTCAAGATCCCGCTGCAGTTCTAGTCCGTCAGATGGGGAGAGGATTTTCCGGTAAATTTTTAATATGTGATAGAACACATGCTTATGACTTACTCGGTCACCAGGTCAGGTCAAGTGACCTCACCTCGAAATAAGTTTCAATGCTTCCATAGCTACACCGAATGACGGATCGCTTTGGAAGTTTCAGCAATTCATGAGAGCAGTAGTATGTACAAAATGAATATCACAGAATATTGATAGCGGTGACCTAAGGTCAGGTCTATTTTGCCAGTCTACGACCTCTTCATTATAGGTCAATGGGAGAAAATTGAAAGGCGCCTTTTTTGGACGAATGTCATTCTTAACACTCCCAAACACCGTATTACAAGTAAACATGACACACTGAACCGGAAAATGGCACCCGTGACCCCTCATTATGCCCCCGAGGTCATCTCAGGTTACGAAAGAACAGTTTTTTTCTGGCTAAAAACTTTTGATAGAGGAAGCTAAAGCAATGGAAACGCCTTAGATGTATTCAGCTCGATGATAAGCATCAATTGATATGCAACACAACCTTTTCCAGTCAGGTCATGACCTTGATCTGAGGCCACATTTTTTTCGATTTGACCGTTCAAGGTCAAATCATAGTTCATTCGATGCGTCTCGACGAGCGGAACACGTTGCCGGTAAAAAGCTCGTGGAAGTTGAGTTAAAAGTTATTGAAAAAAACTTTTTTTTCCAAAACACGTCTGTTTTAGCAGCTTTTGCAGGCTAAACCGCTCACCGAATTAGGTCAAATCCGTGAGGGCACGTTAGCAAAAGAGCGTTGAAGCAGCTATCGAATGTGCTTTTCTGCGGCGCTGTAGCTCTACCCGTTCCTGAGCTAGTTATGTGCCGGTTTGTCGGAAATTGTCGAGTTTGACCTGGAAATTGGCTAAATTTACCCTCGATGACCGTGGTAACCTGACCTTTTACCCGACCTAAAAATAGCTCCAAGTAACTTTTTCATTATTTTTGACGCTCTTTCGAACGCCGTCTACGGCGTGTCGCTACGTGGCCCTCATGGAGCAGAAATAGAGGGGAGTGGGGTTTAACCCTCGCCGGACGAGGGGGGGGGGGGCGGGTGCCGCCCCCCCATAGGGTTTTTTCGCGATAGCTCCGAACACGCTGGCGATAGAGAGCTGAAACTTGGCATACCTGACCTTTGATCCAAGCCGGATCTTTTGACAGCAACCACATTTTTGGGTCAGGTCAGGTCACTGACCTATGACGTCATAAGTGAACCTCTGCAAGGTCTTCAGATGTCGCAACTTCGCAACGCCCTCACTGCCAGAGGAGATGTCACAGGGAAATGAAACTTGCAGGATCTAGTATCCATTATGAGTCCCACAACTTGTATATCTCGGATTTTTCCTAAAGGTCATATGAGGTCAGGTCATTTTCGTGACCTCACCATTATAAGTCAATGGGGAAAAATGAAAACTGCTATTCTGGCGCCGGGAACGATCTCCAACTATCTCAAGCACACAGAATCGTGATTTGATGCACTCCTTGCAAGGTTAGATGCGTCACTTTTGCGATGTTGACCTTGCGTGACGTCATTTATGACGTCATCAAGGTCATATTAGTTTTTCGTCAATAACTCTTGATCAAATTGAGCTAGCGAGTCGGGAAAGCCACCAATGGACTCAGGAAGGCCTGCCGAATCGAATGATATGTGACATGACCTCTTTCGACCAACCTCGTGACCTGGGGGTGCTGACCTGACCTTGACCTGAGGTCAACACCCCAAGTTGACCTGACCCGGACAAAAAGTATATCATTCGACGCGCCTGAGCGAGGCGAACACGATGCTGCCAAAATCGGCGCTCTGCGGCCGTTTTTTGCGAAGTTATTCACCAAAAACTGAACCGTACCTTGGGGCACTTGACCTGACCTCAGAGGTCACCGGTTGACCTAGGACCTTAAAATCGGGTACCAATCTCTGCGTCTCGTAACGGCGCACACGCTCGTTTTTTCCGCGACGCGCTAGCTCCACCAGGGGCGAAACGGCGAGGGGGGGGGGGGGGGGTCGTACCCGCCCCCCCCCCCCTCGGCCGTCGCGTATGTAGAAAACCAATAGGTCCGGCGAGGGTTAACCCGGCAGTTGCTGGGGTATTTCGCCACCCACCGTTTGCTGGGGGGAGGCGTTAAACGCCCCCAGCCGATAACTCGAGAACCAATAGGCGCAGCGAAACGCACGAGGCGGCAAACGAAAGAACGCGACGAGACGCTTCAGATGAGTACTTTAAAGTTGAATTTTGAGGTCACAGGTCGGGTCAAGGTCAGGTCAAACACCTGAAATCGGGCTTTCAGCAGCATGGACTTCAGGACTTCGCAATGGGCGCCTTTCGTCATAAACTCTGTCAAAACGGTGCACAATCCATCATATAAGGCCTACAAGAGTGTCAGCTCCATGTAAGGGTCAGTCAAGCATAGGTCAGGGTCAAGGTCAGGTCAACCGATATCCCACATATCTCCGAAAATCAAAACTGATATTCGCAGCCTGTGACACATGTTTTATTGGTCATTTGGGGCGTAGAACACGATGGTGACATTCATTTTATCATATGTGTAGGTACGTGTTTGGTTCAAAAAGTTCAATTTAAGAAATGCATGTATCATGGTCGTGAAGTAGTCACGAGAAATTGCCAAGATTCAGTTCAAGATTTTGTAAGATGCGGAACGATAATCAATAATCGAAGATAGCCATTTGATTGTTCATGGTATTAGCAGTCTAATGGCGTTTACGGCATGTCTGTATGTCTACTCTGTGATTTTATATGATTTTTTGAACATATGCCGCTTTTGGTCGAAAACTCAGAAATCATGACGTCACTAAAACCTCGATATCTCAAAAATTTTACGACCGATTTTTTGAAACTTTGTCACAATATACTTTAACCCGCGCCCCTCTGGGCTATTCAGCCATACGCGCCCTGCTGGGGGGGGGGGGGCAGATTCTGCCCCCCCCCCCTGTCTAACTTCCGAACCGATGGTCGTAGAAAGACGGGGAAAACGGCAATCGAAAGCTCTCAACAAGGCGGATCTTAAGAGCCCAATTTTTTTTGCTCAAGTAGGTCAGAGGTCATGTCAAGGTCAGGTCAAGGGTACAAAATGCAAGTTTCTACAGTATCGGCCGTGCGCCGTAGTTGCCGAAGAATGGACTGAAACTGATTGCCCAAAACGTGTTCTTAGACTACCAAGACAATATTCGTTGCATATAATGTCATTCAAAGGTCAAGGTCAAGGTCAGGTCAGGTCAGGTCAGGTCACCAAAAACAAAATATAGAAAAGGGCATGTGCGACACATGTTTTATGGGTCATTTTACTCATAAAATTCAATAAGCACACTCAATAAGTGATATGGACCACCTCTGGATGAATTTCAGGTCGAGGTCAGGTCAAGGTCAGGTCAAGTGAGGCCAAATTTTGAAGTTGGTTGTTAAGGCCTAAAAAGATCTGATGCAGTTTTTCACGACGAATCGAATGGTGCTATTTTTGTTTCCGTACGAGGTCTAGAACTTTTAAAAAATCATTTTTCAAAATTTTTGTGTCATAAAATTCTTCATAAAATTTTGAATAACTCCCACACTTTTGAACCGATTCTTCTAAAAATTGGTATGTAGGTGCACATTGACCACTTCTCTGACATATATTCCGGTTTTTTCGATACACTTAAAATTTTGGATTTTATACCTATTTTCCCAAAAAAGTCAGTTTTTTGAAAAAATTTAGGCCAAAATCCAAAATTTTCAAAAAACCGAGATAGCCATTTGATAGACAAAGTAGAATCACGTATAACCTTTTATGTTACGTCTTGTTTCCTTTAAAAATGAAGATGTTAGCGGCGTTTGAAATTTTGCCGTTTTTGAGGCGAAAATGGCGAACATGACGTCACTAAAACGTCAATTTCTCAAAAAAAAATCCGACGGATTTCACTCAAGTTTTTGAGGGAACGTGTCAAATTGATGTATGATAAGGTACTGAAAGTTTGGCGTCGCTGACGTAACGCGTTTAGAAGTTATTGGCGAAAAACGGGAGGGGGGCACATTCTGCCCCCCCCCCGTCCCAGCGGGGCGCGGGTTAATCAATTCCCTACAGGTACCCAAATTTTCGTTTTTATGCTATGGCACGGCGAAAAAAGTGGGGGCGTTTAACTCCCCCCCCCCCCAGCAACTCGCGGGTTAAATACCCCCAGCAGGGCACGGAATTCCAGGAGTCGCAGCGGGGCGCGTTTTAAACAAACTGTGCTCTAACGTTTGTATCATTTATCACATTTGACGATAACGAAGCGAAACATTCATTTGAAATCACTCTCGCTATGACCTATTGGGCCCTCCTAATATTTAATATCATGTCGCATTCCACATAATGAAGGATGAGTCATCGGTAAAATATCACGAAACCTTCACATCAGGAGCAGAAAAGAGCAAAAGGCTGATTCCTGACACTTTAACCGGGCAGTGAGCTAGTGGCCAGTGCTAAATGCACTCGGGCAGTGCTGAGTGCACCGCTTCAACTACATGCCGTGCCCAATATCACGTGTCCCTGAGGTACGTCTATTCCGCTTTCACGGCAAATGATCACGTGACTTTGCGTTATATCACGACACGCAGTCAGGTGACAAGCAACTGGTTGCAGCTATAGCGAGTGGCGTGACCCGACCCGCGTGATCTGCCCTCATTAGGCGCCACGACGGACCGCGCGAGACCGAGAAGGAACGCCATCGTCACGATAGACATTTTCCACACGTTCATCGCTGAATTACAATAAGTCACAAACCGAAATGTAAAAATATATATATAGGTATATATATAAATAGATATAATTTTTTGCGTCAGTGGAGATGCGAGCTCGAATAGCTCGTACACTCATCTACAACAGAAAGCCAATTTTATGTTGACTTCACATTTCACTCAATTACATATTCATTATTTCATTTATGTATTCATTATCTTATTAATTCAATTAATTAACGTAACTGCACGGCAGATCTACACAGCTAAGTCTCGTCCATTTATTTCGTTGCAGTAACTGGCGCCCGCGGCATAATAAAGCAGCGCGCTACGCTTTCCGTTGCAGTCCAAAGCCACAGCGGCAGCCCTCTTTTACAAGTCCTCAGCGTGAAAGCCTCTGTTGACCGTACCTCAGCAGGGGAGGAGGCACGGTTCCCGTTCGTCGACTGGACAACATTGATCGCACGCAGCGAGCCCATAAAGGCCATCCTAGCACCGCAGCGACCGGCCGGACACACCTAAGCTCGTCTCTGGCCATTTCATTACAAATGAGGTATGGCGCACTCCACCGCCTGAACGGCCATCATAAACCATTCAAAGATGATACGGTGCAAGTTCTTTATTAGATAATGTTGAGCCATTACAAATGTGGCTTCATAGACTATATACTTCTCGGGGCTAAAGGACTCCTGGTTGGGACCGCCCTCTGACGTTTTTCACGATTGCATTGCATAGGACGTTTACAATAGAGCTGGAAAATGGCATACCTCTCTTTCAATGTAAGCCGAATCATTCGAAATCAACCACATTTTTGCACTATCTTTGTCCACAGTAGCGGCCAACATTTTTAGCCGACAATAATGCAAACATACTCCGCAAAGCGTACATTTATTTGTAAAGTTTCATCGTCATATATATGCAAGCACTCGAATATGACAATTTTTTAAACTTTTAAACACAAACGTTTGTGAAATCCTCTTGGAAGGACGGCAAAAATTCCAGAAAAAATCCAATCGTTGTTATTCCTTGAATTCATTAAACACTTTAGTCAATACGTTGAAACAGTCATATCGTTTAAAGCTACCCCCGTGCGGAGTATCTCAAACCAGTGACTCGTCAAATTTCATTCTCTTGGCTATCTGGAACCGCTCCCCTTCAAACTTCTTTTGAGACATACTGCGTTAACAGAACGATGTACGCAATACAAAATACACACACATCTCCGAATCTTCTGAATTACAGTCCAGTGTTTCCTTCTTACAAAACCAGGTACGCAAATCATGCCCGTGAGCAAAACTGGCTTTCCGCCAATCAGATGTCAAAACTCAACCATCCAAAGAGCACATCGATCTTACACCACAGTTCTGTGACAGCCCAGCCGTGAGTCGCACACAAACTTCACTTCACCTCGATACGGACGCGCCTAACGGCTCACACCGTAAGACCGATCACTACACATGGTGAGATCTGTACATCAGTGACCCTGGCAGACATCGGCTCAGGCTCTGCGAACTCGCATCAACAGCGTCTTTGACACCCGATCGACGTCCTGGTACAAGGAACGAACGCATCGGACGCTATCGCCACCGTCACTGTCACCGATCTACTGCGTGACCGCACCCCAGTGGGGTCATTTCCGGACCATTAGTGTCGGTACTCAGTACCGCCTGATCGCTGTACTTCGCGATAACCTGACCTCAAACAGGTATCATCGTCAGGACCATAAGGATGTAGATGCTGCCTAGTGTCTTGGTAGTCAGGCATTTGGCTCTACGATATTACCCTGCAAGGCGCCAAGGCCAGGGCTGACAAAAGGACCGAACCAGGACCACGGCTTGTTCAGACCGAGACTGTGACAGAGGTCCAGGACTATCAACAGGACCACAACCTTGATGGAGGACCGTGACGGGATCGGCTCGGTCCCCGTGGTCTCTTACTTGCGACCATGTGTGATTGGATGATGTGAGCGGCACAGATGAGTAGACCCCGTTACGAGTCGACCTTGTGGACGAGTAGGGGTTACGAGTAGACGGTGTCACGAGTCGAACTTGTGGACGAGTAGAGGTTACGAGTAGACGGCGCTGCTGACGGATCCAACGGGCACGCTGAACAGCTGCTGCTCCTGGCCGTAGACGTCCAACACCTTCTCCGTCACGTTCCAGAGCGTCTCGCGGCTGCAGGAGGGACACATCGTCTGCCGACACGGGAGGAGGCGTCAGTCCACAGAGCCAAGGAGCTTAAGTTGAAGTGAGGGACTTGTGATTTATTCAAGACAGGGTCGATACAAAACAAACTCAATCTTGATTGTGCTGCCTCATCGTTGGCTCAATCTACGTAGTTCCTTCTACTTTCACGTAGAAAGCTAGCTTAATTCCCACAGCACAACTTCAATTTTTTGGACAAGGGTTATTAAATGAAGCGGATGTGGACATTTGCCGTAAAACAATATTTACGTCCTTGCAACGAGCTCATTCAAAAACAAAAAGCGATATAATATATGACCTCAAGATTGTGTTCTATTCACTATTCGGTGGTCTGAATTCACAGCATTCCTGTTCAATATCCGCCGTATCAAGCTCGCACAATACTGCGGACCAGTGTCCGTGACCGGTAACTAGGCACCGCAGCCGTCATCCATCACAAACAAAGCACCGTAACCGCCCCAATCACAGCGGCCTACGAGCCCCGGGCCGAGCCGCGTCCGCAAAACAATACCTAGCGGACAGCCGGCGCAGCGGCGATCAGCATCGCTCAGCAACGGCAGGTAACGCCGGTGCCCTCCACCGCGCCACGGGCTCCAAACACACCGGCTATTATGGCATCCGTCATCACCGGCTATTGTGCGTCCTACACGGTCAGTCGCATAATGTGGGGAGTATAGAGAAAGCGGCACACAGGTCGGTCGGACGAAATGACATGGCGGCGTCAGCAGCAGAAGCGATCGATAAGTGTTGAAATGCATCATTGCTGAGGGGTTTCGTACTGCGGCGACGTAGGCGGTGGAATGAGTATCAAATGAGCTGTACCGAGTCCCTGTTCTATCCAGTATTCAACAATACAACATCGAATATTCGGGCGGATAGCTGGACAATGTCTCAGCAAGCGTTGCAGTTGAAGGAAAACAGTAATTTATTTACAAGTAGCAAGGTCCAAAGGCGAAAGACTGAACAAATATTATTAATGTCAAGTGTCGCAGCTGAAGTGGAAAAACTGACATGAATAATCAATCTCATACCGTAGCCTAGAGTGCGACTTATGCAGAAATAACTGAGTGCGACTTATGCAGAAATAACTAACAGGGTCCAAGTAATCCGTGACCATGACAATAGCACATTACTAAATTTACTACAATTAATCCTATTCCAAGCTAGTTACATTTACAGACTGTGTTACACTTCATCGATTCAAGGGGACCGAATAGCCTTGGAAACCTGGAAACGGACAAGAGATCATACAATCACAATAAACGAAGGAACAAATGAAGCGATTCGACCTGCAAACCCCACATTGGAGCAGATCCTGCAAACGGTATCCCCTGGGGAACATAGTTAGGCATCAGAAAGTCATACCAATAAAAATAACGATAACATCCACAATACCAACATCAAATAGTGACCAACCGGGCCATCGTCATACGGCGAGCGGCAAATGGCTGCGCTTACTACCAAGAAAGCATGCGACAGGCCGCAGTCTGTTGCCATAAAACTCCAATATTCGGCTACGCTAGGTGATTGCCGATATGATGCGAGGACGATAAACCGAAGGTACGTATGTACATACGGAGGGCTGACGGGTAGAATGATCCAACGACCCAGGCAAGGACGAGTCGACGGTCCACCGAGCCCGGAAACAGGGCGCCGAAACTGGACCATGTGGACCAGCTGGACCAAAAGGACCAGGGGAACTAACTGAACTAGCTAGGCCACTCGGAAGTCCGGTCCACTACTAGATACTGTCAAAGGTCAGAGAGCACAGGTAGCAGTGGTGCCACTGGTCGATGTTAGCGGTACCGCACGTTGCTAGGAAAAACGGACACAGTTCACTAAAAGCAAAAATAATTCAGTCCTTCACACTTTCAATAGCAGCTCCTCTTGAACACACACTTCAATTGCTTCCATAAGGATGTTTGTAGTACCTAAGCAACGTGTCTTTTCGAGTCGAAATAAATGCAATATGCTGTTTATATGCGTAGCAAAGACCATTCATGAATCACAGACAGCAACAATTGCGGTATAATACTTTTGTAACGGTCGATGTTACCGGTACAAATACTTCTACAAAAGTAGGCCAACAACCATTCGATCACAATAAACACATTCATTACAGTAGAAGCACCCTAGTACAAACAATAACAGGCTGAATGTATCGTTACAGTCGCCTCGTTCCAGGTAAAAATCCGACGAAAGTAGTGGCAATAGCGCCTGCCGTGTGGTCGCGGATAGGTACTCTAACCAACCTTGCCTGTACCTACGACCTTCTAGAACCACGACGGACGGCAACCGCGGGCCGCCGTTCCGAACGGTACACTAATGACACAGCGAATGACACCGTTCGCTCCATCCATCATGCAAACGGCACCGGCACTGAGTTGATGAGACAGCGGGCTTTTAATGGAATTAGCGCTCCTCCGTACGTCGCACCGTCGCACAGAGGCCGGAGTGAAATGGAAGGGACAACTGTAAACCTCGCAACGGGCATGCGACAGACGGTCGTTTCGGAGGACAATCGTCCTCGAGGAATTATGCGACCGTAGCGGTGTAAATACCAGCAAAGTCATGGGTTCCAGCTGTTCTATCGCAGTGGGGGCTTTTGCTCGTAAGCCCGGCAGACTGATAAATCATCATCGAGACAACAACGGAATGGAGGAAACTGACACGAGGAATTTACACAGCAACAAAACGGGGCCCAGCCGAGCACCAAGTCACTTACATTAAACAAGAGACTGCATGAGACGTGGAAGACAAGCGATGTTCCGCTTATTGATCGTGAACTTTGTAAGCGAGCGTGCAACGATGGAGCCATAGGAACCTTGAAACAGCGAGTGTTTATTATTCATGGCAAACGAAATTATTCATAAGTCTGTTTTCCTGTAAATTATTGAGTTATGACTCGTGAAATTTCAAACAGAACAGGGCGGGCACATGTAACGATTATTAGATACAAATTTATTCATTATTTCGATCTATCCTACTTAGCTTATTGGAGCCAAGCAAACATTAAAAATAATCCAGCCAAAAAATAAAAACTAAGGACTCAACGGAAAGCACAGTCCAAAACCACAGAAAAAAGGTATACCAGTCAAAACCACATCAAAAATCCAGAAAGCACATTTATGAACACGACAAACGCGTAAATCGTGTAAAGCATTACCATTAAAATGAATTTGGACAAATTCTTTGGAAAACTACGATAAGGTGCATCACCAACTTACCAGTTATCCGAGAAAAAACATGCCTGACAAGTCCATGACATTCCCACATTCTAAGAAAAAAAAAACAGACTAGTAAAGCAAATTGGACACTTCATGCACACCGCACAGTTACCACCAAAACACACACTGCCCACGCCGGGCAGTACCCTGCCATTGACAATGGACATATGCCAGCCAAGACCTCACCACCCGCCCCACCCCACACACGCGTAGGCGAGCGCTGAGTACCTACCTCATACCACGTTTTGCCGCCCTCCACGGAGCCGGGTACGTTGAGGCCGTAACACTGCAGTGACACGTGGATGCAGGCCAGCGCCAGCCACTGCGGCTTCACGTCCAGAATAAACGGATCCATGTACGAGTCCTGGCGACACAGAAAGGGGTTCAGGTTCAGAACGAAAGGGTCTGACGGCAAACAACGAATGAACGAGCCCAGCACAACGTCTCTTTACAGGACCCATCAAACATAATGTTACCAGCGACCAGGCGCAGCATTACCAGCAGTTTTATCCGAAACAGGTGACCTGCAGCAGCTCTTCATGGCATCATTGTTCTACAACAGTGGTCGGCAGGTCCTCCGGGGTCGCGCCCCCTTTTTGGGCGCCAGACAGGGCCATTACCCCCACCTACCAGACACCATTGGCCACTGCTGACACAAGCATGTCAACACAACCAATCAACAAGCTTAGTTGTGTGCTAAACGGCACAGCCTATGCAGCGTTCTGTCAACTGATAGCTTCTGAGGAGCGGGACATCATCCCGCAGTCAGCTGTGGATACAATATATACCTAACCTTGCTTGATTGATCTCAGGCTGCCTTTTCTAAATGGGATCAAAAATATAGAAGTAAACAACAAACTTAGCTTCTAAGGGTCTCTCCTAGGCCTGCTTTGGTACGTCTGATTAGGCATGATTAGGCTTGAACTAGTGATGTCAATTACGGAAAATCGGAATACCGATACCAAACCAAATGCCAACCAAAACCACGGGAAAATATCGAAACCAAACCAACTTGGAAAAATAAGGGAAATACCAAGTTTTTACCGATTTATTAGCCTCTTATACATTAGTGAGGGCTTATGATACCAACAAAATACCAAACACATTACGATTGAAATACCAAATACCAAGTTGGTATCGGTTTGGTATCGGTATACCAAAAAGTTGGTATCCGATTGACATCTCTAGCTTGAACCCTAGGGCGCAAAGTCGCGTGTCTATCCCATCAAGGGAGACGTTTATTCTAAGAAGATCTGCTTTTCTCAAAGGCCCCAATTACCCCCGCCGAAAGGGCTCCATTACCCCCAAAGGGGGCATGCCCCACCATTTGCCGACCCCTGTTCTACAAACATTTTTGATAACCGCACGAGAAACATCCATCATAAGGTGTAAGAACAAATAAAAAGGAATAATGTGTTTTTACCCTCACCCTCCCCTTGCAAGCTCTCAGAAATAGTAGCCTCAAAATCAATATTGTTCCGTACAATCATAAGTTAACAAGACGGGCGAAATCATATGGACGGTGGACGTCATAATAAAGTGGGCAGCGCAAGTAGCCTGGCATTAGTCATAATTCAGCACGATAAAACAGACCATAAAGTAGTGACGATATTGTACCGACACAATTCATTTGTCATCTTTGGACTCGGTGCGGTTAATATGACAATGCAGTTCTATCATTATCTAATGGACGTCAAAGATTCTAATTAACGTCAGACAGTAGTCATGTCATTGGCGTAGCTAAGGTAATTCCCACATAAGGCTCATAAGAGTCAATGTTAAAGAACGGGTGGCTTAACTGAAAAGCTGAACATATTTGAATATTTAGGAAGGGTTACGTAAGCAGAACGAGATTGTATCAAATAGACCCGCAGAAAGGAGCGATAAACCTACCAACTCGTACGCTAACGCTAAGTACCATCTACAAAGCGGGAAAGCGCCTAAAAATGAAGCGGATAGGGCGTATTACCCATTGGTTTTGCCTATGACATATAAGTCAAAGACCATGTTGGATATCAAATTTCATGTGTACGGCTCTAGGACCGTCAAAACCTAAAAAACGATCCAGAAAAGTGGCATTTGTTCCAGCCTTATCACCCACGGTGACGTAGCTCGATGATCACTTATAGTGGTGGGATTGGCCGGGGATCCGCGGCTCACCCTGAGCAGAGTCCAGGCGGTTCTTCTGAGCGGCAGCCGGTGGAACACGACGTCCCCCAGCCAGTCTTCCAGTGACACCATGTAGTGTAACAGGTACTGGGGACAGGCGGATATGAAAGGTTACATAACGCACTGTTACACCACACAGGTACTGCGGAATGTATCCAGGTCAAACGACCCGCGTCCAGAAACACCACGTACAATCACAGGCATCACTTAATGGCACACGTCATCTGTTACAAATAACATTTGAGACCACCATTTCGACTTTTATCTTCCTCTCCTTCATATCGCCAAAGAATAAACTGCATTTCGCCCCAGCACTTCGACTCTCCCATCCTTTTCATCGTCTAACAGCCTCACCCTCCCATTTTGCGCTCTCTGCAACTCTATTCCCTTCCCATCCTCTCTCCATCCACCCTCTAGTCCTCCAGCTTTCCCCTTCCATACCCTGCCCTCTGCCTCTCCACAACTCACCTTGTGAGGATGTTCAAAGTCCGTGTTGAACCGCAGCATCCTGAGTACCAGTAACTCAGCCTGGACCAGGGCGTCACGCAGGTTCCAGTAGGCCTCGTCCATATCCAGTGGCCGCCCACCCGGCCTCAGCGTCGCCTGGGTCACGTTGATGACGTCACGGGCCTTCAGTGTTTGGTCCTCTAGCTTCCCGGCCAAGTAGAGGCAGGAGCCGGCAATCAGCTGAAGGAAGGCAGAGTGAGGAGTACGAGCTAGTCAGTTCCGCGACAGGTAAGGTAGCAGGGTACCGCGTTCGAGAGGGACAGGCGATACTGACCAAGGGGCAATGATACGGTGCTGCCATCTGCGATGGACACGGTTACGGAAACAGCGATGGGTAAAACGACGAATGAAGCATGAGCTCGTTAGAGGCAAGCTGGAAATGATATTGTAAGAATCTCCCAATTCACGATCGATGGCAACACAAGTCAAATTCCTTGTGTTGCCATCGATCGTGAATAAAACTCAATCATGTCTGATTATTTACAATCTCCCAATAATTAGTACACATTTGAAAGGACTAGACATTCTGATCTTGATGATAATCCCAGAGTCATTGACTCATTATTTCTCCACTCTCGCATCATACGAAGCTCTTTTTCGTCGGTAACTCACGTAGACGTCGTAGTCAGTCGTGTTGACCTCGCGGAAGAACCGATGGAACAGCACGGACGCAGACGCCACCGTCATTACCTTGGCATCCAGTTTCATTCCTGTGTCACCAGGTGGCAGGACAGTCAGTATTTTATGCATTGATTAGCCTTCCAAAACAAATCTTTGATTAGTCCAATTGAAAAAATAGGTACATACAAATAAGTTTCAACATCAGTTCATGCCAGATTGATCAGTTCAGCTTACCACATTCATGAAGGAATCTTGCACCAGCAACCTTGTCTTGCCTTTTCTTATAGTCAATTTTCTTGCTGGCCTGACTTTTAGACCCTGATGAGGGTAGCAGACCAAGTAAAGTTTCCATGGCTTTACCTGTGGAACATGGAAGCATGAAATGCATTATATCAAAATGCCTACCTATTTTGACTTGAGATATTCTGCTAAGAACCCTAATTTGATGAGCAATAAGAATGTAGTGAGCATTGACACAAAGCAATGACAAAATATCAGTACAGGTATGCTCCAGAATGAAAACATTTCCAATGCAAACATTTCCATTGCTTCGTAAGAGGCTAGACCGGCCCGAACGCCTACAGTGCGATGGGCGCTGTACACTGCAGTTCAGAGTTCAGCAGGCGCGCAGTTACGGCGGCTGGCTGTAGCCACACCTCAGCGCACCCGGAAAACGCTTGGTTCGAGTCTGAAGCAGTTTGGATGCGTGCCATCCAACTTATATCGTACCGCCATTACTTGGTGAATGAAAATGAGTGAAAAAATCACTGACTAAAAAAATGCAAACAAAACATATCCAATTTAAGATGTGATCGATAATTTCCAGAAGTTTGCACATGTTTACTCTGCCACATTCCTCTCAAACAAGTTGCAGCACCGATGACATTCAACATCTAAGCTTCACCAACAAGATTTGCTTATATTACTTGCATAATGCATTGTGCACAAAAGACAACAAAATAAAACTATAATCTTGTTTCAATAGGCATCAACTGAGAGCTATGTTTTAAAATCTTTGACTTCACAGTTGCCAGCAGAGCATGGTTCTATTGATACCTATTATGGATATAAAATCATATCAATGATCAGTGAATTAAAATGCTGCTGATTAGGTGTGAATGCAATTATGCAACCACAATAGACCTGCTAGTTGGCAGTTGCTAGAGCAGCATCCCACATCATATACAAATATATCAATAATGTCCCTCATGCTAAGGCCTAGAGAGAGACAGAGAGAGGAAAAAAAACAATAAAGCCTTGGCTGAGGATGGAGACAAAACCATGAAGCTGAAGTCATTACACTATACCATGTGAAATTATGATTTATTTTACTGGTTGAAGGATTTCCAAAAGCACATACCAATGCTGACAAAAATGACATCTCAGTCATTGGAACTGAAGCTCATGTCCAGCCTGGCCCTCAAAAGTCATTTGATTGCAGTCATGATTACCAAACTACTGTGCCCTAGCTGACCTAATCCAAGTTTCCATTTCAACTTATCATTACTTCCATTAATACTTATGATTTTCATCCAGGGTTGGATAGATAATTCAGCTCCATTAGTTGACTGTTTGATTCTCAGCATTGATGCACTAACTAGCAGCCACAATCTTCATATTTATCCTGATAGTAACCAACCATACCAGTAGGCTGATAAGCAACCTATCTTTTGCTAATGTCCCTAAAAAGCAATTAAGGGTATGCTCAAATGAAACTAACATGATACTGATTATGCTTCAGAAGAATCACTGACAGTACTTAGACACTAGACAGCCAATATGCCAGCATTTAGAGATCAACTGGAACCCATTGAGCCAGGGGACATTAGTCCATCTGATGGGGGAGATGTTAGGAGTAGCACCAACCATGTGCATAGTAGATCCAAGTGATGGATCTATGTTCTCAGTGGATCTCAAAGCAAATCAAAATGACAAGCTGGGATCTAGGATTTCATTGGATCCAACTTCCAAAACCAGATCCCACATCTATTTCAATTTAATTGAATCTGTGCACATCTGGTTAGCACAATCCAGACCTGTTGTGTTGTGTTGTGTTGTGTTGTGTTGTGTTGTCCCTCCAGGCTCTGGTGAGCTGTAGCCTAACGGCTCTGGAGGTACCTGGCGACCCTCGCCAGGGCCGCCACCGCGTCGTCCCGTCGCACCTCGCTCAGACTCGGGAAGATGGTGCCGAAGATGCGGAGCCGGGCGTTCATCAGCGCCGGGCACCGCAGAAGGACATGGTCCGGGGTGTCGGCCTCTTCGCCGCAGGCTCGGCACCATCCTGCCCGGCATCCCCGATCACTGCACTGGGCGCACTCCGGCGATGGGTGCCGCCCGATTCTGTGCAGGTACTGGGCTGACCCGGACCAGTGTCCTGCTCGTAGTTGGTGGGTCTCCACTGCGTCCAGCCTGTTGGGTCCACGAATCGGCGGCGGGGGACGCCCCTCCATCAGCGTGCGGTACCAGCCAGGAGGCCACTGGCTGGTGGTACGGGCACGCGCGAGTCTCGTCGCAGCTCGGTAGACCGTGGTCACGTCAACAGGGACGTCCTCCTGGGGGAGAGTTGAGGCGTCTTTGGCGAGTTGGTCCGCGCGCTCATTCCCCGGGATTCCGCAGTGGGACGGTATCCACTGTAGGAGGACCTGGCGGCCGCTCGACGACAGCTCCAGCAGGCTGTCCCAGATCGCAGTTGCGAGGGGCGATGACTGCGCAGACGGCCCCTCCTGCAGCCTTCGGAGAGCCGCTTGAGAGTCTGTGCAGACCACCACTGGATCCTCTGTGTGCGCCGGGTGCTGTCGCAGGTACTCGAGTGCTGCGTTGAGGGCTACGAGCTCCGCCCTGTAGCTCGAGCAGAGTTTGCCGGCAGCGACCCGCAGCTCCCGGGTCTCGCCGTCCGGCAGCTCGAGCAGAGCTCCAGCACCTCCGCTGGCGACTCCCCCGTCGGCCGCGCCGTCCGTCCATACCCACGTGGCGCATTGTGGGAGGCCGCTCAGGTGGAGAGTGGCTACCTCCAGCTTCGTCTGGGCAGATGCTGCTCTCGGCGGGAGGCCGGGCCCGACGTCCAGGCGGAAGGTCACGCCGTTCATGGTCACCCATGGGGGTCGCCGGCTAGGGAGGATGGGCTCGATCGGCGACGACACGCCAGCCGCCTCCCAAACCTCCGTGCCCACCTGTCTCCAACCAGTGACAGAGGACAGGCGCGCCGGCACCACCTCGTCGGCGACGGTGCGGAGCGGGTCCTCGCGCGGCAGGGCTCTCGCCTTGGCCAGGAAGCGGGCCGCCAGCGAGAGACGCCGCGCCGAGACCGGGGGCATACCGGCCTCCGCCAGCAGCGCGTGGGTCCGTGTTGAGACGGGGCAGCCCGTGATCACGCGCGCGGCCGCCCGCACTTCACGTTCGAGGATCTCGACGTGGGAAGCGGGCGTGGCAGGCAGCCAGGCCGCAGCAGCATGTTCTTGGGGCCCCTGACGTATCCATTGGCCACCGCTCGAAGTTGCTGTTCTCGGAGGCCCCAGTCACGCCCAGTTAGCCTCTTGAGCTGGGCTATCCGAGGGCGAGTCTTCTGTCGCAGATTTCTGCAGTGCGCCCCGAAGTGGAGGGTGCGGTCTAGTGTAACTCCAAGGAGTTTCAGCTGGGCGCCCGCGGCCACGGTCTCCCCTGCTACCTTGATGTAGCAGTCGACTGCGTCTTTGGGGGCTTGAGAGAGGACCAGCACCTGGGTTTTTTCGCTCGCCACCCTCATCTTCGAGGCGAGGGCCCACTGCACCAGGACATCAGCCGCTTGCTGGGCTCTCCGCCGTGCGACCAGGATGGTGTTGCCAGAGCACAGCGTCGCCGTGTCGTCGGCGTACATGTACGGCGTCGTACCTGGGATCTTCTTCAGGGCGTCTGCCAGTGGCGCAGCCCAAAACAGAAACAGGGTCGGCGCCAACACGGTTCCCTGTGGCAGACCTGCTCTGAAGATTCGCTCGCGGCTCTTGGTGCCATTAAATTCTGTGTGAGCTCGGCGGTCGCGGAGGAAGCTCCAGATCCAGGTGATGAGGTAGAGTGGTATGCCTCGTTGCAACAGTCGGACGCGGAGTAGCCGATGATCCACCGTGTCGTAGGCTCGGGAGAAGTCGAACGCCGTCAGGACGTAGCGTTGGGCCGTCTCGCCGTCCGCTGGCTGCTTCTTACGCGATCGCGGGCGCTGCCATCCGTCCTGAACCTGCTACACCAGTCGCCCCAGGCTGTCCTCCACGGAGCGGCCCTCACGGAAACCCACCTGTTCGGGTGGGATTAGGTTCCGGGTCGCTACCACGTGGTTCAATCTGCTGAGGACTAGGCGTTCGACCAGCTTGGAGACGTGGCTGGTGAGCGCGATTGGTCGGTATGAGGAGATCAGGCGCTTGTCCTTCCCGGCCTTTGGGATAGGGCAGATTGTGGCCTGGCGCCACTCACGTGGGACGGCTCCTTCTTGCCAGCTGCTGTTGATGGCGTGCAGGAGTTCCCGTCGCGCGGTAGGGCCCAGGTGGAGGAGCATCTCAGCCGTGATGCCGTCGGGACCGGGTGTCTTCCTCAACTTGAGAGATTTCAGCTGCCGGACCAGTTCGTCCATGCTGAAGGCTCCGCAGCATCCCACACGGGCGCCGTCACACTCTCGGCACGTGGACGGGGTGAGGGCCTTCCTCTGCTGCTTCGCCAGGCGGTCGACCTTGGGAACCCTTACTTGGCGAGAGACCCAGGCGTATGTTTGGCAGAAGGCGTCGGCCTTGTCGCCGTCGTTGACTAGGAGGCGTCCTCCGTGTTCCATAGCCTGGCCGTCTCTGTGGTCGTCGTCGGTCGCACCTTCCCATCGTTTGAGGATCTTCGACACTCGGCCGATGCTGTTGGGCTTGTTCAGCTCCTCGGATACCATCTGGTGGAATCGTTGGCGGGAGACTCTCGCCTCCACCTCCGCCGCTCGTCGTCTGGTTTCAACATAGCACTGGATCGTCTCGGGGACTGCGGGGTCCACTCGGGCCTGTGCTGAGCGGCGGTCCGCGATGGCCTCCTCCAGCTCCGGGTCTGTAGCCCAGGGCTTCGGATCAGCGCGTGCCCCACGAGGGATGTGTCGCGCGCTGGCTTTCTGTAGAGCCGCAGCGAGACGCGTGCACAGCTGCTGTGCCGTTGCACCCCGAGGAGGGTCTGTCAGGGCCGCTTCGCACTCCGAAGACCAGGCTGACCAGTCGGCTTTCTTGAAAGCCCACCAGGCCTTGCGGACTCGTCTTGAGCTGCTGAAACCGCTCCGCACAGTCATCTTCATCACCCGGTGGTCACTACCGAGCGAGTCGTCCAGCAGCCATGATGTGCGGCGGGCCAGGGAGAGGGCGCACACCGCG